TTCTCTGTAAGGGTAGGAGTTGTTTTCTTTGTATCTCTGGTCTTTAGTACAGGGACTGCACACTGTAGACACTCATATTTCAATGAATGCCCGATACAGAAAGAATAATACACATAATATTAATGCCATTGTATTTGAGGGAATCGGTGAGGAAAAAAAATTTTTTTTTGAGTATTTCTTTTGACTCACTAAATGTCTAAGAACTAGTGATTTAGTTAACTAAAGAAGCAGGAAACTCCAAATATTCCAAAAACTTTGCTTTTACTTTCTGTCTCCCAGTTTCTTGTTTTCTAAGATAAGATGTTTTTCTATGGCTTCTTAGAAAATATTAAAATTTGAAAAATACCTAAATTGTTATGGAGATTAAAATGGATGGTAGATTATGACATTGATGAATTCAACTACTTTGACAAGAAAATTCAAACTAAATTAGATTTCACAGCTCTGAAAACTGTTGAAGGGGAATTTCCTACTAAAAATCATTCTGATTAGGTGTTTTGCAACAGAGTAGTAGATATTCTGAATTTCCTCTTTTATGGATGTGACTGTAAATGAGAAATGATCGTTTCTATCATCATACTTTTGTTTCAGTTCTATGCTATGCCTCATCTTATAAAAGATAAATCAAGAACTTCTTTTTAACAATGAAGAGGGGATTTTTAAAAGTCAGCATGTGTCTTCAGCTACTTAACAAAAGGATAAAGGGCTGTGTATAAACCATGTGTATTTTAAACCAATGATTACCATTGAAATGCTTGCTTACCACCTAGTCTTTCCACAGTAGTTTTCCTGTCTATCTAGTTCTCCTACTCAAATACCCATATCCAATTGGTCCTGCCCCTTTCAGCCATTCCACCCATGCCTTAATTCTCTTATCCCTTTTGTATTCTGTTTTCGCCACCTTTCCCTCTCCCAGGGCATATCATCTTTTTTTTTCCCCCCTATTTTCCCGCTTCTACTCCTAGAATTTCAAGCCATTCAAGTTTGTTATATTCCATGATTTCAGATTAAGCTGGGCTCCCAGAGCTTGAGGGTCTTTTTACTCTTTCCTCGTTGACTTAGTCTTCATTGTCCCCACTGGTTTATTGCCATCTTTCACATGGGATGCCCTAAGCCCTCTCTATTCCTTCCACACTCCCACCCAGATGCTTCTTACTTGACCAAGAAGATTGAAGAGGTTCATCATCAGCTGTTTCTAGCTCCTATTGCTATACCTTAGTTTGTTTTGTGTGTGTATGTGGTGGGTTTTTTCTTGCATGTGTTTCTTAAACTTAAAATGTTTATCTTTTTAAAGATATCTTCCTTAAAATGAGCTTAGATTGTTCCTAATTTTTTTGTTTGTTTTATGAATATAGTTTTGAAATAAACACCCTTGGACAACTATTTTGGCCATTTGTGAGAGTACAGTTAGCACTAGCTTTGCATGATTCTCTGCATGCACAATTTCAGTTACTATAGTTTAATTAAATAAAAGCAGCTCCCAGCAATGTAGTTCAAATTTCATTTACCAAGATATATTAACTGTGAGTAATTGCATAAAGTACAGACTTTGCTGCTAGCTCATCAATCCACAAATCGCTGTGCAAATAGCAAGTGCAAATTATGGTCAGTGACCAATTGCATCATTTCTTTCAAAGTCTGTCAGTGATTAGCCCTTAGGCATCTTTTAGTCAGTTCATGCACAGACAGCAAAGCATGTAGTTGCGTTGTTGCTTTGCCTCTCGGAGTTACGTAAACCTATATGACATTTTCAAAAAGTAGATAATTGAAAAAGTGAATGGACTGATAAAGAATGAAAGTAAAGTAAAGAAAAGAAAAGAGGTAATAATGCTGGAAGTGAAACTGAAGCCAAAGTAAATGGAGTTATGGAAGAAACAGCTAACCATGGGAATGGTAACACTGCCAGGTGTGATAGACTCCAGATATGAAGCCAGAGGAGTCTAGTGAAACTGAATTTTTCGAAACGAATGACGGGAGTGGTTGTGAGAAAAGGAATGAAGATATCCCAGAGGAAGTGACACTGGTACAAAACTTCCTCTTGGAGACATTTCATAGTGTTGAAGGTGCAAAGGTTATGTGAAAACATTGGAAACTGATCTAAACTTAGAAAGGAATATGGAATATGATAATTCTCCAAGGCATAGAAAATATTCTCACTCTGTATTGTGAGTTATGTGATAGATGAGACAAGGTAGGTACTGTTTAGACTATTCTAGATAAGTTTACAGATAAATTCAGTTTCAATTCTTCATTTTTTTTTTTTTAAAGACAGAGTCTCACTCTGTTGCCCAGGCTGGATCATGGCTCACTGCAACCTCTGCCTCTGCGAGTTCAAATGATTCTCCTGCCTCAGCCTCCCAAGTAGCTGGGATTACAGGAGCCTACCACTGCGACTGACAAATTTTTGTACTTTTAGTAGAGACGGGGTTTCACCATCTTGGCCAGGCTGGTCTTTAACTCCTGACTTCGTGATCCACCTGCCTTGGCCTCCCAGAGTGCTGGAATTACAAGCATGAGTCACTGTGCCTGGCCGATTCTTCATGTTTTAAATTATAATACACTAAATATAGATGTTTTACTATGTTTTATTTTCTTATACATTTATAATTGACAGTAAAACAGTATTTTTTGTTGTTGGTTTGTTTTAGGTTTTTCTTTTTGTTGTTGTTGTTGTTATTTTTGAGCATCTTGCTCTGTCGCCCAGGCTGGAGTGCAGTGGCACGATCTGTGCTCACTGCAACCTCCGCCTCCCGGGTTCAAGTGATTCTCCTTCCTCAGCACCGCCAAGCAGCGGGGATTATAGGCGTGCACCACCATACTGGGCTAATTTTTTTGTATTTTTAGTAGAGATGGGGTTTCACCGTGTTGACCAGGCAGGTCTCGAACTCCTGGCCTCAAGTGATCCACCCACCTCAGCCTCTCAAAGTGCTGGGATTATAGGCGTGAGCCACCACGCCTGGTCGTTTTTGATGTTTTTGATAGATATTTTTAGAGATTATCTTTCCATACAGTTGTGTCAGTTTACACCACCATCAGAGGTTTAGGAGAATCCATTACTACTCTCTTCTGATACCTTGTTCTGCTTATTTGCCCTTGTTAACTTATTTGTTCAAGCTCTTCCTCTGATACCTCCTTATTTTAATGAATACACACACACACACACACACACACACACATACGTTTTTGTGTCCTTAAAGAAGGCTAACCTTTTGATCTCTTTGCAAAAACTCTTCCTCTCTTTTATCCATTTTATTTTGAAGTAAGTTAGACCTGCGGCCTCACTTTCCTTACCATTCACTTCCTCTTAAGTCTTTGCGGTCACTTGACAGTAGACAAGTTGAGAGCAGAGGTCATGTCTGTTTTATTACTGAATGTCCAGTACATAGTCGGTACTCGATATTCTTCATCTGAAGGAATGAATTCATAAAAGCTTCCACCCACCATCCACTTGGTCCTATTCACCCATTCCTCCTGTCTCTTCACCTTAGCTTTCCGGAAATACTACACCATCTTTCCATACCTCCACCCATTGTCCATTCCCCTTTGCATTTTCTTGGTTCCAGCTAAGATAGGCTGCTCATTATTCATCTGCCACCTTCCATGTGCCTGCCTTCCTGGAACCCTTCTTTATGCTGCCCTTTCTCCTAGAAGTTTGCTGTGTTCTGTCCTCTCTTCCCTTCCTCCAGTTCCACCTGGCAACATCATGCCATCATTTCCCCCCATTCAGAGCCATGCCAAAAGCTTGCTCTAGGAAACTCTTTCTGATATCCCTCTCCCCAACCACCCCAACCTTTCTCCTTCTTTAAACAACTGTAGAACTTTGCAGGAGGTTTGTAGGGCCTACCAAATATGGGCCATTGATGTGCTGTTTTTAACTTCTTGTACCTAAATAGAAACTCCTTGAGCTATCTCTTATTTTTTCCTTCTGTGTATAACAGTCTTTGCACATCATTAGTACTCAATTAATATTTTATCGAGGTGCCCTATAATCTGACATTCCAGGGAGCTTTCAAGGAAACTTTGTCCCACTAAAAAAAATTTGAGGATTGTTTTGTGGGTTATTCTGCTCCTTTGTCTTCTAACTCATAGAAGTTCCGTCATTATTCTTAGGGGTTGTAGGGTATGTCCACTTATTTTAAAATGTCAAAGACCAGAAGAGTGGAAAATGGGAAAGTGGCAAAGCGTTAGCACTGGAAAGATGTTTAGAGATCACGTAGTCCAACCCTTAAATTGTATAGATGAATAAACTGGTATCTAGAAAGCTTCAGTAACCTGCCTGAAATCACACAACTAGTTTGTGGTAACACTTGGTCTGGGAGGTTGTCAGTTGACCCTCTTCAGGGCTTGTTCCCACAAGGTGCCACAGTACATGTGAGGATGTTAGGTTTGGGTTTGTGTAGAACTGTTAAAGGAGGCATATAATATTCCATATATTGCCTTTAATGGATTAATACATGGGTAATCCAGACTCTAAATAGAGTTTTCTCTCTCCTTCCCTTAATAATTATAATTTTTATGACTAATTCATTTATACTAACTGGAAGAGTTTCTAATTACATTAACATAGGATGGTATAGAATGGTTGGTTGACATTTGAGTAAACTTCTTATTGAAGTACAAAATACTTACAGAAATGTATACAAATCACATGTGTATAGCTGGAATTTTCAAAAAGTGAACACATCTATGTGACTAGCCCCAGGTTGGAAAAAAGAACAGCACCAGCAAATTTAGAAACATTTAAAGCAATAAAAGGAGAAATAAAAGGATTTTGAAACTGTATAAGGCCAGGCATAGTGGCTCTTGCCTATAATCCCAGCACTTTGGGAGTCTGAGGCAGGAGGATCCCTTGATGCCAGGATTTCAAGGTTATAGTGAACTATGATCATGCCACTGTACCCTAGCCTGGGTAACAGAGTAAGACACTATCTCTAAAAATATAAAATAATAAAATATTTTTTAAAAAAGAAACCATATAATTTTCTCTTTTCTCCCTACAGGTATTGTCAGTATGTGTGTTAACAACAATACTTGGTTGTATATTTGGGTTGAAACCAAGCTGTGCCAAAGAAGGTAATTAGTCGTGTGTGTGTGTGTGTATGTGTGTGCACAGCCTTATTGAGAATGTGATTGAGGTAAACATTATCTCCTGTTTCTATGAGTACTCCATAGATATTGTCAAGTCAACACTGGTTTGAGCCTTCTTCTTGAAACTCTTGTATTATATTAGCCATGTAAAATTCTACTAACAAAACTTACAAAACTTTATCCCCAAACAGAGAGGAAGGGCTATGACCAATAAACAAACAAATATCTTCAAATAATAAAAAATTAAGAACGAATAAGCAGACACGGCCGGGGGTTCTGATGCAGTTGTCCTGGAGCTCACGCTCCTTAACTTCCTCCATGGACTCGGAGGGCATTCTTTACTGCTCTTGTCCCCTAAGGAGTTAGTTGCTGAAGCAACCCCGTAGGCTACTAGGTGACGGTTACCATCCCTGGGCAACCAGAAACTTATCAGTACGTGCTCTTAAGGTTCCAAAATTGCAGACATTGGTTGTTTCAAAGCCATAGTGATATTTTTTGAACTTCTAGATATATTTTTTTCTTTCCATCAATTGCAGAAATCTATCCAGCATTGATGAGATTACAATAAATAATTAAACTGGATCACAGTAAATTGTAGTGGTTATTATTTTGTCTTTGAGGTAGTTCCCCCCCGATCCCCTCGCAATAAAATCACTGATGGTCATCCTAGAGAATTCAGCTTTGAAAATTGAACAGGTTCTTCTGTTTGGCTATTCTGTGATTGTAGTATTAATTATTTAAAAAATTTTTAGTGATTATTAACCTATCATGCACTGTTGAAAGGTAGTCATTTTATGTATTCAGTAAACTATTCAGAACACATGTATCTAAGTTTAACTGAAGTAAACAGTTACAGACTTTATTGTTTACCTATGTCATCTTTTAGCAGGAAGTGATTCACTCTTGAGTTGACACATACAAATGGAAAAATAGCAATTTTAATCCAAGCCCGACATAGTATATATCATATTTTAAAAAATTATTAGGTACATATTAATGAGCTCCAAGTAATAGCCATTATTCTAACAGACTTCCCCGAACCCCACTCCAGGTTAGGAAAGTTCGTATTTCTGACACTAGAAATTATTATTGTTACTTCATCTTCTTAAAATTGACTGATTTCCCAGTATCAAATGAGAGTTAAATTCCATGGCAGTGTCTTTTTGGGTCAGAACACCGTTAAAGTCAAGAACTAAGATTATTTCCTTTTCGTTGTTGTTGGATGTCCATTATTTTCCATGTGTTCCTTTTTTTCTTCTTTTTCTCATTGTCCTAATTTTCTCCTTCTCCACTGAAACCTGGCTTATTCAAGGTATCTAGTAATGAACTTCAACAGTTAAATTGTTGTTTGTCATGAAAAGTACTTTCCTCCCATGTCTACCATTTATTCATTTAGCAAAAATGTGCTAATCTTAACTACATGGCATGCACCTGGCTGGGTTTTAGAGATACAGTATGCTGGGTAAAAGCCAGATGTGGTCTTGGTTTGCCGTCTAACTGGGATATTAACCAAATAACCTAGTTACAAGTAGAATTAAGTAATTGAGGGGAAGGACAAGGTTTTATATGAGCTTAAAAAGTGGAAATCAGGCCTAGCTGGGGAGTTAGGAAAGCTTTTTGGAGGGAACCAGGCTGGATCTAAAGGTGAAATGGGTGTTTCAGGTCAGGGAGGGAAGAGCTATGCCAGGGAGCATGTTCTGAACAAACCCACTACTTCTTTACACCAGGATTGAGAGTGAGGCAGGCTAGGTAATCTTTTCCTTTCTAAAATATTCGTAATCACTTCTAAAAAATTTTTTTCCCCACATTTTGAAATTTTAGGGAACCTCATGCCTGCTTAATCCAACTTTTTCATAGCATGAAATATTCAGAACAAGCCTTTATTCTGACTTTTATTTTATCATACCATAGGTATTTAAGTCTTATCAGACCCAGTAAGGTTTGTAATAATGATAATAATAATGTTCCCTTTCTTTCCTACATCAAGATATAAAAATCACAAACCAGGTACATAAGGTTACTTTCTGTTTGTGTCACTTTTTGTGTGTATTTGTGAAAAGACTTTTGGGTCACTTTATTACTCCATCTGCATCTTCTAAAGTGGTATTTGAAACTAGTATACACCTTAGTTGTATTAGTTGATGTTTTCTTTGAATTATATAATGATTAGAAACATCTGACTTATTGTTCAATATTTTCAGTTAAAAGTTGCAAAGGTCGCTGTTTTGAGAGAACATTTGGGAACTGTCGCTGTGATGCTGCCTGTGTTGAGCTTGGAAACTGCTGTTTAGATTACCAGGAGACATGTATAGAACCAGGTAAGGATGTGCAGGGAAAAAATGGAGTTATGGTCATTAGGAAAAGATCAAGGAAAGTTCTGTGTCTTTCAGGTATGTGATTTACCTAATTCATTTGAATGTTTTTTTATTTAGCATACATACACATTTTGACATTAGCTTTTATATTTTCTTTCAACAGTTCCTTAAGAGAAACAAATTTACAGAATTCTTTGTTAAACATTTTATGGATAGCAGAACTTTGCCTATTTTTAATGTATGCTGAAAACCTTTGTAATCTAATTTGCATTCAAATTCTAAAAGCCTGCTTGAAATATAGGAATATTTTCATTATGGTTCTCTGACAGCAAGAGGTCTTATATGTCCACCTATATTTTTAAAAATAAAACTATCAGAATATGAAAATTTTCTCAGTTAGATTTGGACTTCTCTGCATATGACATGGAATAATATTTAAATGAGAGAGATTTATCTATTTTTCATTAGTTTTTATTTTTTAAAGACAGGGACTTGTTCTGTCACCCAGGCTGGAGAGCAGTTGCTCGATCATGGCTCATTGCAACCTTGAACTCCTGGGCTCAAGAGATCCTCCTGCCTCAGCCTCCCAAGTAGCTGGAGCTACAGGCTTACACCATTGTGCCCAACTGATTTTTAAAATTTTTGTAGAGATGAGGTCTCACTACATTGCCCAGGTTGATCTGAAACTCCTGGCCTCAAGCAATCCTCTCACCTTGGCCTGAAAGTCAGACTTAGATTAAGTTTTAGGAAGTAGAAGAAGCCAAGTCTGCATATGAATTGCATAGTGGTAAGGCACATCTAAATTTGAAAATGACAAAATTCTGGAGTTTTAGTGAAATAATAATAATTGGTTCCTACATATTTTACCCCCCCTTAGTTTGGAGTGGCCATGGTAGCGGCAGATTCTGTGAGTGACTAAGAGCTGTGAAATTGTTCATTGTTGCTCATGGATCACACTCAGGAAGACAGCAATTCTGTGTTCACTTTGCACATGTTGAATTTGAGACATAAAACACATTTTGCTGATGTTTGTTTCTAGAACATATATGGACTTGCAACAAATTCAGGTGTGGTGAGAAAAGGTTGACCAGAAGCCTCTGTGCCTGTTCAGATGACTGCAAGGACCAGGGCGACTGCTGCATCAACTACAGTTCTGTGTGTCAAGGTCAGGTGCTCGTTGGGCTCTGCAGCAGCTTGGCATCTTCCAGCGTCTTAGCTGGGCTTTACATAGGTGTTATCTTTTATACTAGGAGTCATGGCTATTGGCCAACTGTATTAGCTGAAAAAAATAATTTTAAAACTTTTTATTAAAGAAACTTTTAAACATACACATGAGGAGAGAAAGTATGTAATGAACATTGTACCCATCACCCAGCTTAATGATTATTATTATGTACACATGGCAAATCATATTTTATCTATAACCATGCATTCTCCTGCCACCACCCTCTCATGTTATTTTGATAATAGCAGCATACTTAATGCTGTATTTGTGGAAAGATCCTTCTTACAGTCCTGGCTGGCTTTTATGTCCCGGCTTCCCTCCTAGTAGATGGGGACACTGTCTGCTGTGCATTGAGAGAGTCGATGTGAAATTGTTTAGAAAGATTCGAGGGCATTTTGTAAGGTGATACTATTATGGTGTCTTGTCCAGGTATTATTATTTTTTTCAAATTTCTTAACAGAATTTGACTCTATATGAGAGAGAACTAAGACACCAAAATACCAAGGATTTTGATGAGTGGATAGAAGGAGAGGGTTGTAAATTTTGACTGAAAATATTAAGAATTTGACAATGGAAAAGATACCTTCAAGTTCTCACAAATATAGTAGTATGTTTTAGTCTTACAATTATGCATCCATTTTTAATTTCTGATATCAACTAACTCTTATTTTGAAACAGAATAATTATCTTTATTGATTATACACCTCCAGAATCATGTCCTGTGTTATCTATCAATCTGTTCGCATACTTTGTTTTTAGAGTCTGTCCTAATGTGTCTCACAAGCATCACAATTATTATTACTGTTAAGTGTGTTGAATTCATTTTATTTTCTTGAAAATATTTTAGGTGAGAAAAGTTGGGTAGAAGAACCATGTGAGAGCATTAATGAGCCACAGTGCCCAGCAGGGTAAGATTATATTCTGAGGTATTCATTTTTTCTTTTTTAGAAGTACAGCATCATTTTTTTCCTTTCCAAATTAAGATGATAAAAATAATAAAATCACTGATTTATTAAACATTACAGGTTGTGTATCCTTTATCCAAAATGTTTGGTATGAGAACTGTTTTGGATTTTGGATTTTTTTGGATTTTGGAATATTTGCGTTTTACCAGTTTGAGCATCTCAAATCTGAAAATCCCAAATGCTCCAGTGAGCATTTCCTTCGAGCATCATATCAGTGCTCAAAAGTTATGGATTTTGAAGCATTTGAGATATCAGATTTTCAGATTTGGGATGTCCAACCTGTGTTTTTAGCCAGATCTTTTGTTTGGCAATGGTGGAACAGAGATTATTATGGAGTTATCCCTATTCTGGAAGTTTATAGAAAAAAGAGAGGTCATGAATATTTAGTCTTTAGTATTGAAGAATGCTAGATAGAAATATTTGCATTTTCCTTTTCAGGAAGGAAGGATCTTTACTTTCATTTGGAGTTTTGAGAGCTGCTAAACTTGTAGAAAATTTAAGTTCTTTTTTTTTTTTTTGTATTTTGCTCCATTTATACATTTTTGGGATAAACAACCTGTTTGTGAGAGATGATACATTTTTAAAAATAATTCATGTATTTTTTTTTTTGTCCTTCAAATATTTTGTACAGGGTCTTCCATATATGACACCGTCGAAAAGAGTGTGTGTGGAATTTAAAGGGTGAAGATTTTATAAAGGTGTTAGGTGTATTTATCTTTGTTCCATTTGAGGTCTACCATCTCATCCATTTGAATTATTCATCTTCAGAAATGTATTTTTACCTCTTTAAAATGATAGTTTTCTCAGACTATTAAAATTTTTAAGCTGTATTTTAGTTCATTTTGTTCATGTATATAATTTTTGTTATATGTCTTCTTTTTTTCTTTTGGAAGGAAGAGTACTTTTGATTTAAATAAGCAGGAGCAACAGCAGCCAAAACTAAACCTCAACCAAATGATTTCAACAGAAGAAGCTTTTTTTAAGGAAAACTTTTCATGTACCCTAAACTGTCTTTTAAATCCAAGGAATACTAGGAATGTTAGACTTAGTGAATTTCGAATCTTTCTTTTTCTTCTAAATATTGCTTATAATTTTTCAATTGTAATATTGAATCTTTTAGTGGAAAACATAACCCTTTCTTTACAAGAAGATCGTAACTTAGGCCACTTATTATTACACTGGATAATTTACCAGTGTGTTTACCTGATGGCCCACTAACCTGCTTTTATGATTTCTGTTGATTGAATAAAACTAGTTTTATATAGTTTTATTTGGACCATTAAGACTATATACACTGGTTCTGTAGAGTCTCTCAGTGGAGCTATGTTACAGATAGTAGCTAGTGAAAATTGTATAAAAATTTTCTCCTTGTCGGGTTGCTTTTGTGTTTGTGTATGAGGGTAAGATGGGAGGAGGCAGAGTTGAAAAGGCAAGGTAAGATATTTGCTGTCAAATTTAAATTTTCTGAGTAAACTTTCAGTGGGAAGTCTTCTCACAGTTATCCAGTGTTAAACTGCCAAGAGCAGCTCGGCTGGGGAGACCCAACCCAGCGGCGCTAGAGGAATTAAAGACACACACACAGAAATACTGAGGTGTGAAGTGGGAAATCAGGGGTCTCACAGCATTTAGAACTGAGAGCCCCGAACAGAGATTTACCCACATATTTATTAATAGCAAGCCAGTCATTAGCATTGTTGCTATAGATATTAAATTAACTAAAAGTATCCCTTATAGGAAATGAAGGAAGGGATGGGCCAAATTAAAGGAATAGGTTGGGCTAGTTAACTGCAGCAGGAGCATGTCCTTAAGGCACAGATCGCTCATGCTATTGTTTGTGGCTTAAGAATGCCTTTAAGTGGGTTTTCTGCCCTGGGTGGGCCAGGTGTTCCTTGCCCTCATTCTGGTAAACCCACAACCTTCCAGCGTGGGTGTTATGGCCATCATGAACATGTCACAGTGCTGCAGAGATTTTGTTTATGGCCAGTTTTGGGGCCAGTTTATGGCCAGATTTTGGGGGGCCTGTTCCCAACATTATACAAGTTCCCTACCACCTACCATGTATCACTAGATGTTACAAAATGTCTGAGCCATGGCTGTTTGGGGGTAGCCACATAGCCACCGTCCATAGCTATTCTCATTTGTCAAGTATATTAGAATCCTCTGTGGTTTTTGGCCTCTTTGGAATTTCCACACTACATGTTAACTCTTTGTATATGTATGTATGTGTTGTTGAAACCTCATTGATCATTCCCAGCTTTGGAATCATTTCTTTGTTGTTTATATATTTAAATATAGTATCTTTCAAATTTTGTATTAAGTATTTATATCTTTTAAATATAATAAGCCTAAAAACTAAATACAGTATACATAGGCTTGGTGGGTGGCTCATACCTGTAATCCTAACACTTTGGGAGGCCGAGGAGGGAAGATTGCTTGAGCCTAGGAATTCGAGACCAGGCTGGGCAACATAGTGAGACCTCATCTCTACAAAAAATAAAAATAAAAATATTAACCAGGTGTGGTGGTATGTGTTTGTAGTCCCAGCTACTCAGGAGGGTGAGGCAGGAGGATCACTTGAGCCCAGGAGGTTAAGGCTGCAGTGAGCTGTGATAGCGCCACTGCACTGCAGCCTGAGCAACAGAGTGAGACCCTGTCTCAAAAATAAAATAAAAATAAAATAATAAAATAGTGTGTAATGTATATACTATATGAAGTACTGTTTACTATATTGGAGTCCATATCAGAAAGTGGTGGTTCAGGAAAAATATTTACGGAAATATTATATGCTGGTTTTTTTTATTGTTTATTTTCCTGCAAATTGGGAAAACAATATTATATTTCAGTAGCAATTGGTTTAGCTTTTCGAACAGCAGGAACCATGAATGATGTTTCTGTATGGTGGCTCAAAATGATATGAATGCTTAATATATACTATTTGATGATGTACGTATTATGAAATGATAGAGCATGTATATAAATATAAATATAAATGCATGTAAAATATACTTTATCAGTATGCTTGCCGACTTTGTTAGTTTTCTTAAGATCACACAGACCTTAGTGGAAAATCTTCACTGGACCTGTGCCTAGAAGGTAGCACATCTTCATTGGATATGTCTTGTCTTTGCTTCTTTAAACATTTTTTTTTCTTTTTCATTACCCAGGTTTGAAACGCCTCCTACCCTCTTATTTTCTTTGGATGGATTCAGGGCAGAATATTTACACACTTGGGGTGGACTTCTTCCTGTTATTAGCAAACTAAGTGAGTAACTTCGGAGTCTACTGCTGGACTATCACGATTTCAGTGCGATCGACTAGGCAGGCAGTCTTTCTTGGAAAAGTACTGGCAGAACCTAATTGTTTCACTAAACTTTTCTACGGCAAAGTAGTTGAACCTGGTGATAAGGAACTTACCTTTAATAGTGTGATTACTCTGAAGCTGTCCTTCAAAAAAAATAAGTTAATATGGTTATCTTAGAATTTTAACCTTTGGCCATTTTTATATATATTTATTCTTTCTCAGAATTTTGAATTCCTTGTGAAAAAGTCCCTTGTTTATTTATTTTACAAATATTATTATTATTATTTTTGAGACTGAGTCTCACTCTGTCACCCAGGCCGGAGTGCAGTGGCGTGATCTTGGCTCACTGCCACCTCTGCCTCCCAGGTTCAAGCGATTCTCATGCCACAGCCTCCCAAGTAGCTGGGATTACAAGCGCATGACACCACGCCTGGCTAATTTTTGTATTTTTAGTAGAGACAGGGTTTTGCCATGTTTCCCAGGCTGGTCTCGAACTCCTGGGCTCAAGCAATCCACCCACCTTGGCCTCCCAAAGTGCTGGGATTATAGGCATGAGCCACCACGCCCAGCCTTATTTTACAGATATTTTATTTCAGAAATAGAATTTCAAAAACTAAAGGTATTTCTGAGATATTACAAGTACAGACAGACTATTTGTCAGTTATTCTGTATTCTCCTTTGGATTGAATTGGATTCTTCCAATTTTTTTTTTTTTTTTAAATCTCAATCAGGCCTTAATTAAGTGGTTTTTCTATAAATTCCCCATAAAATCGTAGAATGTTTTCTTAATATTGATGCTAAAGTTTTAAATCACGTTAACAACCTTTAAGCAGCTACAATGTAATACTGGACCAAAACAGAAGTAAGTAAATACAATTACTTTAGCTTTTTTCTGGAATTCTAAATTATTTTTTACCAGATTAGAGTATGTGAGGTGCTTTAAACATTAACATCACTCTCTGTATATTCATATGTATGTCACTATGCTTGTCTTATGAAGTGCCAAAATAATTTTGGGAGAGTTTTAAAAATGTTTAGTTTTTAATTTCTACATAGAAGAAGATGGTTTTATTTTGTTTTAATATTTTGCATAAAAAGTCTTTAGCTTTGCATGAACAAAGCTGTGTTCTTCCCAGCAGGCCCATGGCCTTTGAAGTTTAAATACAGCCCTTTGTTACCATTATCAGGAGAGCTTGTCTCTATGGTACCAAATGCGGCATTGTGAGTTTAGAGTTGAGAGGTGGAGGTGCCTGTATATGAAGTTTACAATAAATCATTAAACAATGAGCCCAAGCCCTAGCTTTGAATAATTAGGGAATGTAGCCTGTAATTCTGAACTGAGAGAAGGCAGTGAGATAATATAGACACATGCCAATTTGAGGGACGTTTTTGGGCGAATGGAGTATTGAACGCTAGAATCATTAGTTATGTGTTCCCTCCTCAATAGTAGAGGCAGGAGAAAAAGAACGAGGAACCAGAACTAGATCAGCAGGCCAACAGGAATAGTCGGACCTTGGCGCTTTCGTGGACTTGAAGCCACAAGATGCCTTTTGTCTTTAAAGCGGCTGAGTTTGTCCAAGGTTAGCTGGTTCTAGATCTATGGCCTGGGACACTGTCTTCCCAGCTACTCCTTCACCCTTGTTTTAATTTTTAGACTTAGTTCAGGGTTTTCTTTTTCTACGTCTTATGATTTAGGTATTTGACCACTAAGTAGTATCAAAGAACTTACAAGCATCGTTTTATTATAACCTGTTCATCTTGAATGAAGTAATGTTATGGGTAATTGGCTTAATTATTTTAAAGTTTTTCTGACTAAGAGAAAAATGAAGTCATCTTTAACATTGGATTTGTATCCACAGTGTTGCTTTATAATTATATTCATACTGAATTTTTATCTGAGTAAAATCCCTCCTGGGCTAATTTTTTTTTTATGTGATTTAGACTGTTGTGGTACCACCACTAAAAGAGGTAGGCCAATTGTCAGATGTGTTTAATAACAATGTTTATTTTTTTCCCTTCTAGAAAAATGTGGAACATATACTAAAAACATGAGACCAGTATATCCAACAAAAACTTTCCCCAATCACTACAGCATTGTCACCGTAAGCTCTGCATTTCAACTTCTATCTGTTTGCAGAAGTGAGATGGGATTGTAGCAGTTTTTGAGAGAATAGATTTAAGATAAAAGAAAAACAACTTATTTTCCAGTATGTAGTTAAGCAAGGAAACCCAAGTTCTGATCTTTGCTGTGCCACGAACTAGCTGTGGCTTTGGAAAGGTCACTTTACTGGCTGCGTCTCCATTTTCTCATCTGTGAAAAGAGATGACTCAAGACCTCAAGAAACGATTTCCTGGTTTCCTTTCAGTGTTAATATTCTCTGATTCTTGTATCTTAGTTTTGAGGCTTACTTTATTTGAGCCAAAAAACTGTCCCAAACTCCTGTGTTCACAACTTGTCTTTCCAATCATCTTGATGATGAATTTAAGCAAGCCACTTCGCCTGACTCCGAATAGGATTACAATCCTGTTTTTGTTTCAACGTTTCCAGATTTAATTTGAGTCAAATAAAACAGCAGGACTCATTAAACTTTAGAATTGAAGCCAGAAAATTAGTATGTTAGCTTATATTGATTCAAGCTACTCTGGGACCTCACCAAAAAAGGAATTTGTTCTGCAGAAATGCTTTACTCAACAATTTAAAAAGATAACAGCATTGTTTTCAAAATTTGAGAGGCTACTTTTTTTTTTTTTTTTTTTTTTTGAGATGGGCTCTCTCACTGTCACCAGGCTGGAGTGCAGTGGTGCAGTCTCGGCTCACTGCAACCTCCACTGCCCGAGTTCAAATACTTCCCCTGCCTCAGCCTCCCAAGTAGCTGGGACTACAGGTGCACACCACCACACCCAGCTAATTTTTGTATTTTTAGTAGAGTCGGGGTTTTGTAGCCTGCATGGGCCTAGGGGGACTGACCAAAGTGGCAGAGGCAGGGCATGTGGGAATAAAAGACAAAGTCAAAAGAGTGTATCTGGAAGAAGGGGTCAGGGGGTACCTTGCCTCTAGTGGACAAGGACCCTGAGCTTCACACAGCCCTCCATATTTATTAGGCAAAAGAGATAGCGAGTGGGGGCTAATTGTCAGTTGGCCTTTTGGTTCACAGCAGGCTTGTGAGACTGCATTCTTCGAACAATAGGCTAGATTTTTCAGTAGATAACTTCAAGGATCCTGGCGCCAGGGAGTGAGGCCCTCAGCAAACCTTTTGGTGGCAGGGCAGTGTGAGTTTGCCCACATCCTGCATTCATGATAAACGGTTTGCTGTTTGATCATATAGCCTCCAGTGGAATGCTGAGTTGGTCATGTTCCACAGGCCTTCGGCTCCCTGCAGGGTTTCACCATATTGGCCAGAATGGTCTCCATCTCTTGACCTCGTGATCCGCCTGCCTCACCCTCCCAAAGTACTGAGATTACAAGTGTGAGCCACTGGGCCCGGCCAAGGCTGCCTTTTTTATATAGATCTTTATCCTTAGTATTACTGACTTATTTTCTCCTATTACATAATTTAAATCACAAATACTACATAAAATCTTAAGTGGTTGTGTTTTGCCGTTACCTGATTTTTTTGTTTTTCTTTCCTTAAACTTATTATAATTCCATGTGGCTTCAGTTATCGGTTTCTTTTTGATGATTTTTTTTCTGTGAATTTATTTAACATTAAGTAAACACAACTTGCATATAATCTGTTTTATCTTTTTTAGGGGTTGTATCCAGAATCTCATGGCATAATTGACAATAAAATGTATGATCCCAAAATGAATGCTTCCTTTTCACTTAAAAGTAAAGAGAAATTTAATCCTGAGTGGTACAAAGGAGAACCAGTGAGTTCTTTGTTTTTCTACTGAAATAGTTTATTATTCTCATCTATTTCAATTAGAGTAAAATAACCAGTTCTCTGGAGCTTTTAATAACCGATTTCATTTAGTGTGTCTGTGGCCGTTCTTTTGTAAATGGAGATGAATGCTGATAATCCTAAACATAATTTGTATAATTGCATAAAAGGAGAGTAGTTTATTTCAGAGGTGGATTTGGGTTGTGCTGGGCCATTTTTCTTTTCTGATCAATTCTTCTTCTACCAGTAGCATAAAGCAGTAGTGTGGGGGTAATAACTTTGATCTACACAAAACTCTGTTGCTTTTGAAAGTCTTGGTTCGATTTACGTGTGCTAATTTAGGAGGTTCTTTCCAATTGTGATTTAACTGTATTCTCCTTTTTACTTTTTAAAATTCTCCAATTCTCCAATTTACTTTTAAAAATTGCCACAATTTAAAAAAATTTTTAAAAAAGTTGCCACAATATTTTAAATTGCCACAATAATTATATAAGGTCTATTTAAATAATCACGATATTCCTCTTAGAAGGACAGAGAGCATAAGAGTTTGCAGGTTATGAATTCAAATTTTAGCTCTGACATTTAAAGCTGTGTGACTTTGGACAAATCATTCTGTTTCTGCCTCCGTTTTATCGTATCTATACTGTAGATAATATTGTTTACTACTTCGTAGGATTATTGTGGGATTATGTGAATTAATAATGTAGGATGCTTGTAGGAATACTATTTAGAACCATGATTGGCCATAATAAGTGCTTAATAAATGTTAGTTACATACACAAATATCTCAACAAGTTAAAGACATGTATATTTGTGATTTTTTTTTTCTTTTTAGAGAAAACAGTCAATTAGGGGAATAGCTCCAAAAGCTGCAGGAGTTAATCTCTGACTATTTAATATCTTGTTGCTGCTTAAGAGTCATATTACATGATTATTGTGATCTAAGTGCTGAAGCTTGTTGACCTTAAAAACATTCTAGCACTAGAGAGGAATTCATTGGTGTTGCATGAACACATACTTTCATGAGAGATGAATGTTTGCATGATTTCTTAATTTTCCTTCATTATCTGCTCCAGATTTGGGTCACAGCTAAGTATCAAGGCCTCAAGTCTGGCACGTTTTTCTGGCCAGGATCAGATGTGGAAATTAATGGAATTTTCCCAGACATCTATAAAATGTATAATGGGTATGTGAAATGAACTTTTTCTAGGATCTGTAACATAGAACAGCTTATTCTTATGTAATCTCCTTTTTATCAAATCCTAAGCTTTAGCATTTGAGTGATATGTTGACTGAAAAATGAGAACTGAAGAACTCTTTCTCAAAGAGTTTAGATAGATGGCAAATGGACAGTAAAACTAGAGAAGTGGGCCGGCCTCGGTGGCTCACACCTGTAATCCCAGCACTTTGGGAGACTGAGGCGAGTGGGTCACCTGAGGTCAGGAGTTCGAGACCAGCCTGGCCAACGTGGTAAAACCCCATCTCTACTAAAAATACAAAAATTTCCATTTCTAAAGTAGTAAATATGCTTTCTAGTGTAAGAAATGGATTAGAATTAACCTCTGTGGGATATTTGAGATCCATGATGCATTGAGAAAAAAACAAAAACTTTTTAATAGGAGAAACTCTTTGGCCCATTTGAGCAAGATTACTGAAATAATTTTATTTATTTTTAAATTATAAAATTTCTGGCACAATATCAATACAATGCATTTAGAAGGATGAACAGAAAATATCTTAAATCCCAGACACGAAATGCATAGCAGTTTTCCTTGTGATCTTATGCTAGTTTGTGTTCTTTATGGCTTCCGTGAGCACAGTGCAATGCCTCTTCTTCACCTTCTTATTTGCCACTGTTTTTATTCCATGGACAGTAATTAAGAGTTTATGGGCTGGGCATGGTGGCTCACACATGTAATCTCAGCACTTTGGAAGGCCTAGGCGGGCAGAGCATGAGGTCAGGAGATTCCCTGGCTAACACGGTGAAACCCCGTCATTACTAAAATAAAAAAAAAAAAAAAGAAAAAAATAGCCAGGTGTAGTGGTGCACACCTGTAGTCCCAGTTGCTCAGGAGACTGAGGCAGGGGAATTGCTTGAACCTGGGAGGCGGAGATTGCAGTGAACCGAGATCGCGCTACTGCACTCCAACCTGGCAACACAGTGAGATTCCATCTCAAAAAAGAAAAGAAAAAAAAAAGAGTTTATGTACTAAGAATAGGGGATTCAAAGATTAATAGTATATGGTCTGTTGGCTTTTTAACAGTACACAACTAATTGTACTTGGGTGTGGCAAGAACTCTGATTAGAAGTGTGTAAACAAAGCCTGTGTCCAGAGAAAGGCATAAGGCATAGTCAATGCTGCTCAGGAAATACTGCCTAGAGAACTACTATCTGCTTCTCAGGTGCCTGCTTCACAGCTGTGCTGACTCATCAGTGAGTGAGTGCTTCGTGCTGGAGGCTTTGCAAAGTATATTAACACATGAGTTATTCATGTGGTATGCAGTGACTGTTTTCAGGCCCATGAATATTATCCTCAAGTAGAAGATAGCAAGCAAAGTTTTAAATCCAGTTACAACTTTTATCTGTGTAAAACCTAACTTTCATTCCTTCACTGGGAAAATAAATTTTGCAAATAAAACTCCTACTTGATTTCCAACACAATAGATGTGAAACAGCTTTTAGTAGTTCTTAATGACATTTTCAATGAAAAAAAAAAAAACCTGTATTTTAAACCCAAACAATTGTCAGACATCTTTTATTTTTGTTTGTTCTTAATTTTAGTTCAGTACCATTTGAAGAAAGGATTTTGGCTGTTCTTCAGTGGCTACAGCTTCCTAAAGATGAAAGGTCTGTAGGCAATTAATTTCTATTGTAAATACTTCATTTTGTAGAAATGATATATTATTTTAAAAATAGACTACAACAAAACTTTGCTATTTGCTGTGCTGTTTTATATCGAAATAAATTCTTTAATGATCATACCACATTTTGAAGAATTTCAAAGTTGTAAATTGTTTCTCAGTAGAACTGTTACCCCAGTGTTATAAAATTTAATCCCTATCAATTGATGAATTATTTTTTCCATTCTGTTTTTCAATGTGTTCGTAAAATATTACATTTTGATACTGTTTGATTTAGACCACACTTTTACACTCTGTATTTAGAAGAACCAGATTCTTCAGGTCATTCATATGGACCCGTCAGCAGTGAAGTAAGTACATTTTTATCAGTAATTATTTCATTAAACCCAGTCATCAAACTGAACCTTGCTTTGAAGGAGGCTGCTGGACCGTTCTGTAGGATTCTGTGGTTTCTGGAAAAAGCAAGTATTATACACAATATTACTAAATAAAAGGATGTACTTTAAACACAATAAGAGTTGGGAGAATTGTTTAGCCTGTGTTTTCCACAGTGCTAAATTGAACTGATGATGAATTAGCTTCTATATTTTCAATGTGAAAGCCTTTATCCACTCCATCGCCCCCTACCTTGGCCTAAATACTAAGTGCTTTTTGAGAATGTTGTAAACAGCTAAACCTCCAGTAGAAAATACAGGGTAATAAGTCAAATAGTAGAGGAATCCTCCTCTGAACTCTCTTGCTTAGGAGATATGCTTTGGCCACCTGAGACCATGCTTACAACAGAGGTCCCATAGAAGGATGGGAGATTTTATCAAAATTATAGCGATATTTGAATAATTATTTTTGTTGAGTATTTCCTAGGAAACTAGAGGTATGAAACAGCTCATGGACTAACACTTTCAATGTAACATCTCGTTTGATCTGACACCCTTTCAGGAACTTAGCCAGCTCCTAGCTATGTTTTTAATCTGTATAGCACTTTAAAACAGCAAACACTGCTTTCAGTTTTCACGTGGCCATATCATTTTTGTTACCATTTTAATGGCAAAAAACCACAATAACTTTTGCACCAACCTAGTATTTTTTTTTTTTTTTTTTTTGAGATGAAGTCTCGCTCTGTCGCCCAGGCTGGAGTGCAGTGGCCGGATCTCAGCTCACTGCAAGCTCTGCCTCCCGGGTTCACGCCATTCTCCTGCCTCAGCCTCCTGGGTAGCTGGGACTATAGGCGCCCGCCACTGCGCCCGGCTAATTTTTTTGTATCTTTAGTAGAGACGGGGTTTCACCGTGTTAGCCAGGATGGTCTCGATCTCCTGACCTCGTGATCCACCCGTCTCGGCCTCCCAGAGTGCTGGGATTACAGGTGCGAGCCACCGCGCCCGGCCAACCTAGTATTTTGGAACACGGGAAGCATTAGAACAGAAAATGATTTGAAGGCTGGGCACGGTGGCTAACACCTGTAATCCCAGCACTTTGGGAGGCCGAGATGGGTGGATCACCTGAGGTCAGGAGTTTGACGCCAGCCTGGCCAACATGGCAAAACCCTATCTTTACTAAAAATACAAAAAAATTAGCCAGGCCTTGTGGTGTGTGTCCATAATCCCAGCTACTCAGGAGGCTGAGGCAAGAGAATCGCTTGAACCCAGAAGTGGGAGGTTGCAGTGAGCTGAGATTGCACCACTACACTCCAGCTTGGGCGACAGAGCGGGACTCTGTCTCAAAAAAAAAAAAAAAAAAAGAGAAAGAAAAAGATAATGATTTGAGCATATTTCCTTGTACCTCTAAGTTAACTTTCCTTCTGATATATATTTTGTCTGTGACCTAAGATATGAAAGGAAGTAAAAAGTAAGGATCTTGACTATTTTGGGTCATGATGAAAGTGGAAAGAGGTATTGCCAGGATCCCTCCTGTCTGAATCCTTGTGTAGTTATCTTGTGCCGCCTGTGATTCCAAGGAGGTCATAGACTATTTAAAAAAAAAAAACACTCTTTCTTAATTTCTAGGGCTTCACTCTCAAATTCCTATCAGTTCTCCTGCCCAGGTAGCCCAGGTTGGATAGTTGGTGAGCTTTAAGGACTCTTCAGCACAGAGTCGAGACTAAAGCCTAGCCTGACATGTCTGTCATGATCCCTGTTTTTGAGGGTGCTGCTTGCCTAATTCAGCAGCAGCAGAGGCAGGAAAAAAAAGCATCCTTATTTTTCTCACTTGAATTTACAACAGCTGCCTAAACCATCTTCCCTTCATTTCCCTTTCCCTGATTCTGCCCTAGATTTGCCCCTCTTAAAAAGTAGGTACTGCCTGGATCACTATCACCTTGGATAAAAGAGAGTGAAGAGAGAAGGAAGTTGACCCTCACCTAGGTCCCTTTTTACCCTTTGTATTCTTTCCATCAAAATCCATCTCCAGCAGCTCCACTGTAGTTAGTAACTCCATTGTGCCTTCCTTTCATTCTGTCCTTCAACTTAGCAGAAATACTCCTGGCTTAGAGGGAGGATAAGGAAGATGCATGCCAACAACTTGGACATGTCATAATTGGTCAAAGGGAAAAGTTTCTTGTAGCTGTTGTCTTGATTTGAACAATTGGCTACATGGTAGTTTGATTTTTGCTCTTTCACTAAAGTCACTGATACCCAAGACTTGTGTCTGGGTCAATTTGGCTACAGAAAAATCCAAGGATCGTTTTATACTTGTTTATAAGGTTACATACAGTTTAAAATCATTGCTACCTTTTCTAATTCACTAACAATGTGCCAAAGCATCTGCTTTTCTGACTCATCTTCATTTAAGGTTGAGCCCATTACTTTTCAAATCATATCCATCAATTTGTAAACTCTGTAAACTCCAGCATTACTGGCACAACAAAACCCACTTTATCTTAATGCTTAAAAATTCCAATTCATGTTGCTTGGATATCTTTGAATGAAAGACCTTGTCTTGTTTCATATTACAGTGAAAAAGCTTATCTCATATTACAGTGAAATATACTGACAATGAATGAAGATTAAACTGATTCCACACGTTACAGAAAACATACAAAACTGCACAAGAATTTTTCTCAAATGGTTTTGCAAGGAGAGAGGGTAAAATGAGTGCCAGAAAGCAATTTGCCAATATCATTTGTCATTCTGTGTTCTTGTAATATTCATACGTAAAATACATGCAGTTTGTAAGGAAATAATGAGTTGTAGTCCTATGAGTTCTAATTTAGAAAATTAAATACATTGAATTATAAGAAGCATTTCATGAATAATTTGAACATTTTTGAAAATTAGGAAACGTATTTATACAATGACCATTTGAATGATCAGAAAGTATAAGAAGAAATTAATTGAGGAAAATGAAGTGGTAATTAAGAACATGTTGGTTTCTGGCCAAACACTGTAGATTTGAGCTATTATTATTTTGGCTTAAGTTGGGTCTAATTTAAGTAGTAGCATTCTGACCTCAGGAAGGGAGAACTAGTAGATCAGCTAATCTCATTCACAAAACTTAAAATTGAACATGTATAGAATTAGGACTCTTGCATTGTTAATGATCTGCTGTTATTTACTGTTCTTTGTATCTCTGACCCTGACCTGTCTTAGTCTAATGTGAATCAGCTCATCCTAGTTGCATCCACTGGCCCTTATCTATCTATCTTTCTTTCTTTTTCTTCTTCTTCTTCTTTTTTTTTATTTTTATTTTTAACAGAGATAGCTTTATGTATAAATAGCCATTAGTGTGGAATGCATCGCATGAGGTTGTTGCTTCCCATTCTTAGGTCATCAAAGCCTTGCAGAGGGTTGACAATATGGTTGGTATGCTGATGGATGGTCTGAAAGAGCTGAACTTGCACAGATGCCTGAACCTCATCCTTGTTTCGGATCATGGTAATCTGAATTTGCATTATTTGCTCTTCAGGATAAAGGGCTGAACAAAGTTTACTTGATTGTTTCCTAATTTCTTCTGAATGTTATAGTGAATTCTTTTTTAAAAATGTAGTTTCTTGTGGAAAGTCTTTAGGAAAAAAATACATTAAATATAAAATGTAAGTGAAACACAGAATTCACAGAAACCTAAGTGCTTGTCAAGCACAATGTACCAATCTTCTGATTTGAGAAAAAAGAATACACCAAGAATTTGAATAGTTAAAAAATATACATTTTCAACATTAAATTTTTATAACTCTACAATTTTAGATTTAATTGGAACTGATTATTATGTCTTCAATTGTCTTTTTTTGTTTTTGAGACAGTCTCACACTGTTACCCAGGCTGGAGTACAGTAGCATGATCACAGCTCACTGCAGCCTCAGCTTCCTGGGCTCAAGTGATTCTCCTGCCTTAGCCTCCTGAGTAGTGGAACTACAGGCATGTGCCTTGACTAATAAAGAGAATTTTTTTTGGTAGAGTTGGGATCTTGCTATGTTGACCAGGCTGGTCTCGAACTCGTGGTCTCAAGCTCCCACCGCTGCCTCTCAAAGTGGTGGGATTACAGGGATTAGCCATCGTGCCCAGCCTTCAATTTTCTTTAGCATGATAAATGTGACTTTAGAAGCATTATGTATTAATTTTGATAGTATTTTAATTTCACTTGTACTTACTGTGATCTTTGTAACACACTTGTGTACAGTTTGGGGACTATAGGAGCAGTGTGCCTACAGAAAGTAGAAAATAGGTTCTTTTTGTTATTGTTCTTGTTGTTTGCTTCAGAAATAATTATAGAAATCTGTGTTTAGAAGCAGTCCTAAGAAGTTACATACTAAAGAAGTTCCAGTCTTGGAATGAGAGTGACTCATACACATCCACTCCCAAGTGGTTTGGGGCAAATAACTGGGCTTTCACATTCAGTCTAAAACTGTGATAAGACATTCTTCTTTACTCTCATGATGATATTGTAATATATAAATAAAAAGAAACATTAAACTAAATTTGGGTGATGGAAAAGATTTTGAAAAAAGTGAAGCGATAGGTACAACTGAAATTCTGTCTTACCTATCAGATGTTCAACTAATATGAGTGCTACACACCCTTGTTTAACGAATTTAACTCTGGAAGTGAAGGAAATTCTGCTCTGCATATTAAATTTTTTATTCAAGTTACAGCATGTTTTGGGATTTTTTTTTTTCTCCTAGGCATGGAACAAGGCAGTTGTAAGAAATACATATATCTGAATAAATATTTGGGGGATGTTAAAAATATTAAAGTTATCTATGGACCTGCAGCTCGACTGAGACCCTCTGATGTCCCAGATAAATACTATTCATGTAAGTATATCTCTGTGATAACTTTGAATATGGTCATATTAAGAATACCTTCCTCTAGGCCAGGCATGGTGGCTCACGCTGTAATCACAGCACTTCGGGAGGCCGAAGTGGGCGGATCACCTGAGGTCAGGAGTTCGAGACCAGCCTAGCCAACGTAGTGAAACCCTGAAAATACATATATGATACTATACTATATCTATACTAAAAATATAAAAATTAGCCTGGCTTGGTGGTGGATGCCTGTAATCCCAACTACTCGGGGGGCGGAGGCACAAGAATCACTTGAACCCAGGAGGTGGAGGTTGCAGTGATCTAAGGTCATGCCACTGTACTCCAGCCTGGGCAACAGAGTGAGACTTGGTCTCAAAAAAAAAAAAAAAAAAAAAGAATACCTTCCTTTAAATCATTATATCTCTAAACTAAAGGGAATCAGAGTTAATTTTTTTCATGATTAAATCTCCAATGCAGATCTTTTGTACACAAATGGATTTTATGGGACTGGATGTGAGAACACAACTTACCTATTGGTTATTCATGGACTAAGCATAGTATTTGGTGAGCTTAGTGCAATTTTATGTTGAAGTATGTGTTTTACTTGTGTATCGGAGTGAAGATTATACTAGAAAAAAAGTTTAAGAGAAAAATCCAACTACATTTATTCAAGTTTAATTAATTAATGACACTCCATTAAAATTACTTAGTATGGGAATAATATTCTATTGTGAGGAGGAATGCTGGCAGAAATGATTAATTCTATAGGCAATTGATTCCTGTCCTCCCTTAAACCATTTCAGAAACAATAAAGAATGTATCTTTTAAATAGGGAAGAATGAATTTCACATTCTCTCTTGACCACATATGGAACATAAACTGCCAAAAGATGTTTTAAAATATTTATTCTTTTGCCAGTCAAGTGTATTTCATAACTGTTGCCACCTCTGTTACCTCCCTCTCATTTTGATTACCATACATGATAACTTTCAGATGTGTAGAGCAAATTTTGTTTGTCTTTTTGATATAGTTAACTTTGAAACAGAAATAGAATAAGCTTTTCTGACAATTATCAGAATTGGGTTAGGTTGGGCTATTTGGTAAGATATGTTTCAATAGATAGATACTATTGACTATCAATGAGGAAAATATATTTCACTGCAGGAAAATGGTTATGCAGATATATTTACACAGTGTTACAAAGCACAGGCTGTGTATGCCTAATACCAAGTTTTAATTAGTATTTTTTTAATTTAGAAAAGTAGCACATGACTGTTATAAAACCTGTTCTAAAAATTATACAGATACGCTAGGCATGATGGTGGCTCACACCTGTAATTCCAGCACTTTGGGAGGCCAAGGCAGGCGGATCACAAGGTTAAGAGATCGAGACCATCCTGGCCAACATGGTGAAACCCTGTCTCTACTAAAAATATAAAAATTAGCCGGGCATGATGGCACGTGCCTGTAGTCCCAGCTACTGGGGAGGCTGAGGCAGGAGAATCGCTTGAACTTGGGAGGCAGAGGTTGTAGTGAGCTGAGATAGCACTACTGCACTCCAGCCTGGTGACAGAGAGACTCCATCTAAAAAAAAAAAAAAAAAAAAAATTTTAGGGCAATAGCAGTCTCCAGAGATGTTTGGGATGGGATAGCTAAGCTGTGCCATACCCTTATCTCAGTTAGGCCCTCAAGTTTCCCAAATTAAAGCAAAAACTATATATGTATATCACTTTACATAAATATATAAAATATATGTATATAAAATGTATACTCTTATCTGGATAATTTTCTCCAATTTGTGTAATGTTTGGCTAAAATAAAATCTGGGAAGCTAGACAGTTATTGATTTGTAGTAGAAAGTACCCTAAGTAAATCCATGGCCTTACTATGCAAATTCAGTTTTTAAATTAGTCTACTTGCCTTCTCTTTGAAGTTTCCTCATACCCCTCTTATTTGAAAATTCTAGAACTGTCATTGAATATTGAAGTATACAAAGTAAAAAGTAACAGCTTCCCACCTGAAGTCCTCCTACTTGACAATTCATTTCCCCTGTTTAGAAACAACCGTTGTTAAGCTTGGATTATGTCTTCCCGGATAATTGTGATATTCGAATAATTATTTTTGTTGTTGAGTATTTCCTAGGGAACTAGAGGTACAAATCAGCTTTACAAAACACATACAGTTTTTATTTTTACCCAGTGAAACCATACCAGATCTAGATGGATAGATACTTTGAGGGATGGATGGATATTGGTTACTAACCGGATGGAAAGATGGTTGGACAGGTGGATGGATAGTTAGATGGATGAATGGACATGTGGGTTATCAGATGGATGGATACGTAGATGTTCTGTAACTTGTCTTTCCATTTAACAATATGATACCTGAAGGTCTGTCTAATTCCTTTCAGTGGCTACAATGTAATGACTTAAATGAACTCTTTAAAACCTGCCTTGGTGTTTAAATATAGAGTTTGGATCTGACATTCTACATTTTTGTATTATGTTTTAGTTATAGCATACAATCAACTATTAATTCTTATGTTTGTTCCCCTCCAGTTAACTATGAAGGCATTGCCCGAAATCTTTCTGTGAGTATCTTTATTTTCCATTATCTAGTTATTTTTAGTTTTGTATAATATATACAGAGAAAAGTTTCAGCATCTGTTATTGGGATTGAAGGATTAGAATATTTTAGGGCGGGCGCGGTGGCTCACGCCTGTAATCCCAGCACTTTGGGAGGCCGAGGCGGGCGGATCACAAGGTCAGGAGATCGAGACCATGGTGAAACCCGGTCTCTACTAAAAATAGAAAAAATTAGCCGGGCGCAGGGGCAGGCGCCTGTAGTCCCAGCTACTTGGGAGGCTGAGGCAGGAGAATGGCGTGAACCCGGGAGGCGGAGCTTGCAGTGAGCCGAGATTGTGCCACTGCACTCCAGCCTGGGCAACAGAGCGAGACTCCGTCTCAAAAAAAAAAAAAAAAATATTTTAGTAACCTGGGCCAACATGGAAATGCTGTGTAGTTTAAAGATCTTTAAGGTTGTGTCCCAATAATGTAGATTTGAAAATTTTTAAAGAATTTATCTATTGGCATTATGAAATGTATATGAGAAGAAGAAATAATTTTAAAACTATTTACAAGAAATAATTTTTAAAGTAGAAGGAAAAACCATATGGCTGTACCACCATAAACACCATTAGCATTATGATATATTTCCTTCCAGTCTTTTTTTATGCCTTAAAAAATAAGTTTTTATACTAGTGCTGAGTTATCTATACTACATTTTATACTCACACATTTTAAATCTGCAAGAAAACTCTTAAATTGCAGTTATAAGGATGTTTGAAAATAGAACCATCAGTGGTAACTTAATATAATCTAGTGACACTGTCTGAGTTCTGGGGCTTTTATGCAGTAATAATTATGATTTCCTCTAAATGTTTCAAGTAGTTTGGAAGATTTACCTTTTACATTATACAAATAGTAAGAACTTTTAGCTGTTTTTTCATCTGACTTATTGGGCCGGCTGATGAAATGTTTGTGAAAAAAAATTTCATGTGAAGTTAGAAAGCAATTTCAAGAAAAGTTAACACTTTAGATAACAGGGAAATAATACTTTTTCTTTGCTGTTTGCAATTTCAGTGCCGGGAACCAAACCAACACTTCAAACCTTACCTGAAACATTTCTTACCTAAGCGTTTGCACTTTGCTAAGAGTGATAGAATTGAGCCCTTGACATTCTATTTGGACCCTCAGTGGCAACTTGCATTGTAAGTTCTGACAGTGTCCCAGGTAAACTTAACCTGATCGGTTAGTGATTCAGGGTAACCACTGGGCCCTTTCTAACAATATTGTTATGTGAAAACTGTAGAAGTATGATTCTCTTCACTCTAACTCAGGATTTCTATTGTCGGCCTATGGATGTTCGAGTTAGATAAGTCTTTGTTGTGGAGAGCTGTCCTGCACATTGTGGGATATTTGACAAGGATCCTTTACTTCTCCCCACTGGATGAAAGTAGCACTTCTTCTCTAATGTGACAACCAAAAATGTCCCTCAGCATTGCCAAAAGTCCCCTGGGAAGGAGGAATCACCCAGACCATCCTTGGCTAAGAATCACTGGTCTGGCTTTTGATATCTATATTGATTACTTCTTATAATCTACATTTGTTACCACTTGCCATTGCATGTCTTCTACACATTACAGTATGTCTAATTGTGCCACCAAAGCCCAGCCAACAGTTGCTAAAAGCACTTTACTTTATAATAATCAGTAACTATCTTCATTATACACAGTTGTTTTTTCATTCTTCTCATACTAATCCATCAATAAACTTTAGTTTATTGGTGTGTTTGGCAAATTATTTGGATAGTTAATAGTGTTAATATCTCACAATTTGTTCATTAACTGTTTTGGTGGTTGCCAAGAAGCCAGTCATGATACATACCCCTGTCAAGCAAAACCTAGGCAGTGAACCACAATTCAGTAAACAGAATTATACTGTCTCCACTCTTATTGGAGAGCTGGGCTTTTAGTTTAAAAAAAAAAAAAAAAAAAAAAAGACAGAATATGAAAGGTGAAATGGTCCTATCTTCGTGAGAGAACTAATATTTAGTAAATATCTAAACACCATGTTGGAAGCATTTCTTTAGGCTACATCATTGAATTTTTACAAATAACCAACATGAGAAATTGAAATCAAAGATGATAGTTAAATCTATCTAAATTCACGGGCAGTTAATCACACAGCCAATGTTCAAAACCACTTCTGTCCTGATGCTAGTGGTTTTTCTTCTGTCTACTATATTGCTTATAGTTTGTTTGTCCATGAAATAAAAGATAGAAGTGACTTCTTAATGCTTTTCAAAGCCAGGTGGTTTTATTTACCTGTTATGTTGGTTTAACAAAATAGTTACATACTTTTTATTAATGAAAATAATGTTATGTTTTATGAAAGGACTTTACATTTTTAATTCATATATGTCAACATTAGGAATCCCTCAGAACGGAAATATTGTGGAAGTGGATTTCATGGCTCTGACAATATATTTTCAAATATGCAAGTGAGTAAACCTATTATACTTAATTGAATTGAATCTAAAGAAAAAATGATATACAAAGTTTTACATTTGAAAACAGACTGCGATTCTATGTCTTGAATGAGAATTAATGAAACATACTTTCATAAAGCAATTTTTATTTGAACATTAAAGACTTTTGTTAAAATTTTATATTCATTGGCTATTACTAAAAAGTCAAAAAACAACAGATGTGGTAAGGATGTGGAGAAAAGGGAATACTTATACACAGTCGAAGGGAATGTAAGTTAGTACAACTTCCGTGGATCACTGTATAGAGATTTCTCAAAGAAATAATAATGAAACTACACCTAATCCAGCAATCCCACTACTGGGATTTCCGAAAGGAAAATAAATCATTTTATCAAACAGACACCTGCACTCATATGTTTATCACAGCACTGTTCACAGAAGTAAAGTCATGGAATCAACTTAAATATTTATCAGTGGATTATGGATTAAAAATGTGGTGTGTGTGTGTGTGTGTATATGTATGTGTGTGTATATATATTTATATATATATATATATTTTTTTTTTAATTTATATATATATATATCGTGGAATGCTGCTCAGCCATAAAAAGAAATGAAATCATGTCCTTTGCAGCAATGTGGATGGAATTGGAGGCCATTATCCTTAGTGAAATAACTCAAACAAAAAACTAAAAACCACATGTTCTCGCTTGTAAGTGGTAGCTAAACAGTAGGCACGCACGGACGTACAGAGTGGAATAATAGATATTGGAGACTCCCCAAAGGTGGGAAGGTGGGAGGAGTGTGAGGTATGAAATACCACTTATTGGGTTTAATGTACACTGTTCTGGTGATGGGTAACACTAAAAGCTCAGACTTCACCACTGTGCAATATATCCATGAAAGATAACTGTACACATACCCCTAAATCCATAAAAATTAAAAAATTAATAAAATTTTATATTCATGTTTCATAAGCATATGACATATCTCCTATTATATTTCTAATAATTATTTTTCATGTTTTTTGTGCTCTGTTAAGAATATTGCTTTACAGTTAAGAAAGCTAGTGATAGATAAGAAAGTATCATATTTACATTCTTAGAAGAGATAGTATCTTACATTTACCCAGCACTTTAATGTTTTCAAAATAAACTTATAGTAATTTTCTAATTTGATCCCTGCAGCACTGTGTAAGGTGGGCAGGGTGAAGTTTATATTCAATGTCATAGATGAAAAAAAAAATTATCATTCATTCTGTTCTGATTGTCAAGTCAAGAATTGTAATAAAACTAAGAGACATATCCTAGATGTTCTTAGATTATATGTGTGATAGAGTTAAAACTATATTTCCCACAAAGTCCACTCAGCATGGTAGTTTTCCTCTTATCTTATCATAACCAGTTTGTATGTGTACAATTTGGATAACAGAATTTTTTGGACTAACCTGCAGACAGCTGAAATGCACTGATAAACTTCCTTTTTTGGCCATCTAGGCCCTCTTTGTTGGCTATGGACCTGGATTCAAGCATGGCATTGAGGTTGACACCTTTGAAAACATTGAAGTCTATAACTTAATGTGTGGTAAGTGTGAACAGGTGGCTTTTTTCCCTTCTGAAAACAGACCTGAAATAAGATTGTCAAAAGCAGGTCACATTGTAGGCACCTTTGTGGAGAGGACGGTGAGGCAAGACAGATTTTTACCTTCTTCCTGACTCGGACTCACTGAAGAAATATGGGGAACATGTCATCTTATTACTTATCTGTTTGTTCCACTAGGCTGCTTACTGGTTAAAGTACACCACTCACAGCAGGGTGGTCTGCACACCCCCAGTGCTCAGCACTTTTCTAGACCCTCAGCTTAATTATTTGATTCTTGACTCAGAGCAGTGATAGAAGCCAGAGAAAAGACATTGAGGGCAGTGAAAGGTGGACAAAACTTGTGGAACTTCTGGTAGCCATAATGGTTGAATGTAAGTCAATGTCAAGGTTGTAGAAATGACGGAGGACACATTAGGGATATTCTTGGTTTACTTTGTACCTTCTGAAGTAGTCCTTTTATAGTGAAGCATTGTGTTTTAAATATTAATTTCTTATTCTCATAATGGTCCTAGGCATTTACAAAACCTTAAATATGTCTTAACTATAATTCTTTTGGTGGGAGTCTATATAGTTTAAATGAGTTAATATATCCTAAAATACTTAAAACAGCACCTGGCATATAGTAAGTGCTTACTACATAAGTATTTGCTGTTATCACATTTAAGAGCATGAGTCTTAGACTCAGACAAAGATGGTTTTGAATTCTAGATCGTTCAGTTAGTAACTTTGAGACTTGGGCAAAACACTTTGATTACTCATCTACCAAATATTGATGATAACTTATAAAATTGTTTTGGGGAATAAATAAGAAAATATGTTAGCACCATGATTGGCAGAAAATATGCATTCAACAGGTGGTGACTAGTTATTGTACACTTTAAAAATCAGAAATTTTGTACTGAAATTCAGCATATACATATCAGTACTTCTATTAAAAAGAAGCTAGTCTTAAATACTCTAAAACTCAAGAGAGTTTTATACTTTTCTTTTAGTTAAAGAGTAAAGGACTCATGTATTTGGTTTTAAAAAAGTAAAGATCATGGCACAAGTCTACTATTTGTTTGATTTGAAACATCTAAGTAACTCTACCATTCTTGAAATGATGCAGATTTACTGAATTTAACACCGGCTCCTAATAACGGAACTCATGGAAGTCTTAACCACCTTCTAAAGAATCCCGTTTACACACCAAAGCATCCCAAAGAGGTGCACCCCCTGATACAGTGCCCCTTCACAAGAAACCCCAGAGATAACCTTGGCTGCTCATGTAACCCTTCGGTAAGTATTGTCAGGAAGTTTGGTCCAGTATGTATGGTTTGATAGCACCCTCTGCACAGCATGTGCTGTAGAAATACTTAATAATCAAATTAGAATTTAGGAGTGGGGGTAGGTAAACATATATTTTAATCCTAGGGGGCACATGCAGATCTTTTGTAATATTTCTTTTCTCTTTCTAGTTTTTGCATTTTATGCTCTTATTTTTAATTCCTTGGAGCTGTGACTTGACTTGGGTGCAGATGTGAAGAAGTCTAGTTCAGTTCTTGAGCCTCCTGTATTAGGGAATCTGTACTGTTACTCTAGCAGTGAGGTCATGAGCACATAGGAAACCAATCACAATGTACCTTTTTAAAAATACAATTCAGGTTGTTTAAGTGTAGGGAGGAAAAAAGATTTCTTGGTATGAAATGAATGTATTACACTGTCCTTTTTTACTTCCATGTTAATATATCATTATTATAAAAAGATAAAAATGCTAGACAAGTTATGAACAAAATTGATAACATCCATAAGCAGGCACCTGTAATCCCAGCTACTTAGGAGGCTGAGGCAGGAGAATCGTTTGAACCTGGGAGGCAGAGGTGGCAGTGAGCCGAGATCGCACCACTGCATTGCAGACTGGGCAACAGGGTGAGACTCCGTCTCAAAAAAAAAAATATATATATACACACACACACGTGCACACATATATACAAAAACATATATAAATATATATCTATAAAATATATTATAATATTAAAAATATAATATATAAATATAAATATATATAAATATATTTTGATATATATCAAAAATATACATATATATACACTATATGTGTGTGTATATATACTCTATATGTGTATATATAGCAATTTGGAGAGTAGTTTATTTTATGCTTTACATTTTGTTTTAGACTTGAGTTAGACTAGAAGAAAGACTTGGGGTACCGAGATAAGAATTACAAAGCAGCAATCATATTCTTATTTTTTAATTACTGGCATAATGCTGGTATACTAACAATAATGTTAGTATACTAACAATTTTGTCTTTTGCAACTGTCATTCCTCTCCTCTGTCCTGTTCATCAAAAAAGTAACTTCTGTCCAGGCATGGTGTACCACACCTGTGATCCCAGTACTTTGGGAGGCCGAGGTGAGAGGATTGCTTGAGACCAGGAGTTCAAGACCAGACTGGGCAACATAGGGAGACCCCATCTGTACAAAAAGCTAAAAAAATTAGCTGGGCATGGTGGCATATGCCTGGAGTCCCATTTACTTGGGAACCTAGGTGGGAGGATTGCTTGAGCCCAGTAGGCCCAGCCTGCAGCGAGTCATGATTGCACCAATGCACGCCAGCCTGGGTGAAAGAGCAAGACTCTTGCCTTTAAAGAGAAAAAAAAAAATCCACTCATACAAGACTATTGTAAATGATCTTTGTTCTATGTTGGGATAATCAATCTATAGCAGTTCTGTGTTACAAAAATTAAAACATGTCTCTCAGTTCTTAAAAATAGTTTTATAACCTTTTTTAGATTTTGCCAATTGAGGATTTTCAGACACAGTTTAATCTGACCGTGGCAGAAGGTAAGGCATGCTACCCTCAAGCTTGGAATGTGAAACAATTTTCTCATCAGTGTGAAATGCAGAGAACTGGTTTGGGGACATGATTTGAGAATAACCAATAAAATAAAGGGAGTTCTGGAGGACCACCTGATGAAACATAGAGGTTTCTTTGCTTGACAGTTTAGACTGTTAAACATAAGGAAAGAAGAGATATTTTGCAGTGGATATTGTATGTAACGTATTTAGTGGAAGCTGAATCACACTTTATGAACATAATGGAGGTGTTCTGAAATTTTTGACGATTTCTATAGGTTGATAGTAGAGACTCAGATTCCCATTTGAAATACCTAAGTTTCTATCTCACCTGGTTCTTAGTTAATCATACAAGGTTATATATTGATTTTTTGATCTAAAGCTATTTCTTCATCACTTTTGACCAAAAATCAAGGATATACAGACAACTGATGAAATTTTTCAATTATGACTTGAATGTTTGGAGTCACTATAATACACTCTCTCATCCTTATGTTACCTGGCACACATTTTTTTTTTCTTTCTACTAGAATAAAGAGGTAAATTCTGTGTTAATTCTGATATGAGCTTGTCTCTGTAAAATCCCTAGGATATCTTCAAGGTGGCAAAGTATTGTAGTGAATGGTGGCACTTTCAGAATTGAGTAGATCCAAGTTTGAATATGAGCTTAGGTACTATATGTTCATGGAAGGAGTATTCCCTGTCAGCTGCTGTTTCCGCATCTGTAAAATGGGCATATAACCTTAATTCATATGGAAATGTAAAAATTAGTTATATGATGTGTAGCAAGCACTTGACATTTGGGAAAAGGGCAATAAATAATATCTATATTGTTATTGTTTTATTTAGTTTAATCTCATAGTTTCATCTGAACTTTTGCTTTCCAAGTACACATATCATTAAAAAAATTTACTTTCTGGAGTGTGTCCTAAAGAATACGTAATTAAAATAATGCTTAAGAATTTTTGATAATATAACTTTGAATTAACTGGAATATTTAGCAATTTCTTGTAGTGTCCTCATGGTATCTTGATATTACATTGATTTCAGAATCTTTATAGGCAAAAATTACAGTGAATCTCATGTGTCTTCTTAAGTGTTTATGCTTCTACCCTTTGTAATCAGTTTTTTTAATAGTTAAAAGTAAATCTTCAATATGGTTAAGTAGAAGAAAGGATTAGATGAGGGTATCACACTATATATTGTCATATAATACACACTAACTAAATTTATTTATTTTCATCCTGTGACCCAAGAGAAGAATATTAAGCATGAAACTTTACCCTATGGAAGACCCAGAGTTCTCCAGAAGAAAAACACCATCTGTCTTCTCTCCCAGCACCAGTTTATGAGTGGATACAGCCAAGACATCTTAATGCCGCTTTGGACATCCTATACCGTGGACAGAAATGCAAGTATTTGTCACCTCTTCATGTGTGGCTATTTCAAATTAATGATTAAGCAGAACGTTGAATGCATAGTTTCTCACTGTTCACCTTGGCTTTATATCAGTTCCTGCATTAGAGGAACACTGAACAGGGAGTCAGAAAAATTCAGTTCCAGTTCAAGCTCTGCCACTGAGCTACTGCATGACTTTGAGAACTCAGACCAAATTTCTTCTGTGAAATGAGGGTTGTGCAGTAAAGAATTCTCTTTTGGGCCGGGCGCAGTGGCTCACGCTTGTAATCCCAGCAATTTGGGAGGCCGAGGCGGGTGGATCACAAAGTCAGGAGATCGAGACCATCCTGGCTAACATGGTGAAACCCCGTCTCTACTGAAAATACAGAAAAATTAGCCGGGCGTGGTGGCAGGCGCCTGTAGTCCCAGCTACTTGGGAGGCTGAGGCAGGAGACTCCAGCCTGGACTATAGAGTGAGACTCCGTCTCAAAAAAAACAAAAAAAAGAAAAAGAAAAAAGAAAAGAATTCTCTTTTGCCTCCCTGACCCCAATTTTAATATTTTATGATTCCAATTTATAATTGCATGAAATCAGCCTTAGGATCAGTCACAGTTACCCATTTCTAAATACATGGCTGTGTGAGGACAAGTATTTCCCTCAGCTGTTCAAATCTAAGGGAGCCCTCACTGTTTGGCAAAGCCATTAAAGCTCAGTAACACCATTGCATGTACCATCTATAGGAAAACACGAGCCCAAACCAGGGAGAGGCCAGAATCCTGCCCACCACCAACACCAGAGGAGTTAGGCCTTGAAAAGAGTGAGGGCAAATATCCCAGAATAAAAGCAGCCTTCTCCCTCACTCATGGCCGCCTGGGTGCTCTGGTAGAAGAAGGAATGGTGAAGGAGATGGTGCTGGAAAGAGAGAAGAGGAAAGATGAGATTTTGGTCTTATATGGAATTGAAATTTTAAACTGGGATGAAACTGAAAGTGACTGGCAAGGTACAGGATGCCCTAAGGGAATGACAAAGGGATTTGAGAGAGCATAGTGGAGGGCAGCAATTTGATTTAAAAAATAAAATTATTTTTACTAATCAGTGAAATGGCCAAATAAAAAGATAGGGAAATGTCTGTTTATGTATAATTTCTATGTTCCAAATATATAATACACACATATATTTATATAAAGTTTCTTGAACGTTGATTTTAAAAATTTTTCAAGACTGTCTTCAAACACCAAACACTTAAAAAAATTTTTGACTTTCTGATTCATCAGTCTACACTACTTTTTATAGGCACCCCATCCTATTAATATTTATACCTTAATTATGGTGTTCCTTGATTGCATTTTCAGTTTTCTTATATAATTAAAATGCATGACTTTACAGTCATTGCGATGCTTGAGGTTTTTGCGTTGCTGTTCAGTGACTCTGCTCCCTTGCTCCAGCGACTTTTGGCAGTGTAGTTGGCTATGGAACATAGACTCAGATCTCTAAAAATCAGCATTTTACTATATAAAAGCTTAAAATTGGCCAGGCGTGGTGGCTCACACCTGTAATCCCGGCACGTTGGGAGGCCGAGGGGGGCGAGTCACGAGGTCAGGAGATCGAGACCATCCTGGCTAACACAGTGAAACCCGTCTCTACTAAAAATACAAAAAATTAGCCAGGCGTGGTGGGTCACACCTGTAATCCCAGCACTTTGTGGGGGCTGCGGCGGGTGGATCACCTGAGGTCAGGAGCTCAAGACCAGCCTTGCCAATATGGTGAAACCCTATCTCTACTAAAAACACACAAATTAGCTGGGTGTGGTGGCAGATGCCTATAGTCTCAGCTACTCGGGAGGCTGAGGCAGGAGAATCGCTTGCACCTGGGGAGCAGAGTTGCAGTGAGCCGAGATTGCGCCACGGCATTCTAGCCTGGGTGACAGAGAGAGACTCCGTCTTAAAAAAAAAATAAATAAATAAAAATTTAAAATTGTAGATAAAGACATTCTAAACATTATTTCATATTAGCATAGCAGAATCTGAAAATATTTGCACAAATATGACCATTAGTATCTTTAATATTTTAAAGCATTTTTACACTTTAGTTAGAAAAAAAGATGACTGTACTAGTAGGAAAATGGGAAAATAGTCAAGGACATGAGCTGACAGCTAGAGCTTCATAATTTTATGATGTAGTTCACCTTTAAATATTAATAGAGCAATTTTCTTCTCTGTGCCTGATATCTGAGAGTTCTTTTCATTTCGTTCTTCAGGACAGTTTCTCTACGGAAGACTTTTCCAACTGTCTGTACCAGGACTTTAGAATTTCTCTTAGTCCTGTCCATAAATGTTCATTTTATAAAAATAACACCAAAGTGAGTTACGGGTTCCTCTCCCCACCACGTAAGTTTCTTCCTCTCCTGACCTTCCCTTTTCTTATCCTCTTCTCCTCCTTTTTGTTTTCTTTCTTGTTTATAAACCCTACCATACATTATTTATTGGTGAAAAATTGTGGATTTGGTCTATAACTGCCAAAGGAAAAATTTTAATCATCTAAAACTTGAATTTTATAAAATTTTCTTTTGGTTGGGGGGTAGTTGATTTAGTGCAGATGTGGTGGGCAGTACACTTCATGGTTCCTTATAACAGAATTTGAGAATACTGTGAAATTGGAATATATATATATATATCAAGTTGGAAGAATATATCAAGGTTCTTAGGAAGGAGATCTAACTTTGTTGTTTATAAAGAAAATGAGATTGTCAGAGAAGTAGGTAAAGGTAGAGGCTTAAATAGTCTTGCTTTTTCACTGATCCAGAACCTCTAGGGAATGGCTTTTTTGAAGCTAAGTATACTATTTTTTGAAATGGCAAATTTGTATGTTGATGAGAAGCCATTTTGCGGCCAGCCTTAAAAGGCAAAAATCGAAAGCTGCAGGTGCTCAACTACCATCAGCATCCAGTTCAGTTCCCAGAGTGTGTGTCTGAAGTCAGAACTTGGCTATTGCATTATAAAAATAGACTAGGTCCAAGCCTCAGATTCATACAGAGAAGCCTTGTATGGCGTTTCGAGACAGACGTCCTGTGATGTTTTTTCTGGGTAGCAGGTGTTGTTCTGGAGCCAGATGTTCTCTTTTTTCTTTCACTGTGAAAAAGTGTAAGGAAAGAAGATTGTCAACACAATTCCTTTTAGTTGAAATAAGGTCAATAAAGTTTGAATATGTTTAATTTGGGGCTCTTGTTATTAAAGTTTATGTTTCTTTGACATGCTCATCTTGAAAAGACTTAAATATTTTATTTTTGTAAAGGACTTGACCAAACACATTACATTTTCCCTTGACCCAGTACTTGGAAAAGTTTTTCAGGTTTAAGATGGTACTCAGCTAGTTTTTAAAAATGCTCGCCTCTGCCATGAGAAACTATAATTTCTTATGTCATTTGTGAAGAATGAAAAACTTGTCCTCTTTTCTCTTTGTAGAACTAAATAAAAATTCAAGTGGAATATATTCTGAAGCTTTGCTTACTACAAATATAGTGCCAATGTACCAGAGTTTTCAAGGTAAAAAAAAAGTTAACTCTATATTTGATAATTTTAATTAACTTCTGCACATATAGGCATAATTCATATGTAATAGGACTTACAGTCTAGATTAAATGAATTAATACCAAATACATTCTTAAAGATTTAACTATGAGCATACTAGTACACAAAAATTCTACAAATATTAGAATTATCGTATATTTCAGTATCCATTCTGCTTTGTATTTAATTGTTTGCAAACATTTTTGGTGAGAAAGTATATGATGCGCTTCCTAAAGTTATTCAGCTAATACAGTCTGCTATCGCTTATATTAACTTTCATTCGGCTTCCTTATTTAACTTTTTGGAAGTTCTTGATAATTGTCTGTGCTTTCAAATAAATAGATTTTACATCATCATTGACTTGCAGCATTTGACTTTTACAGGAATAAAAATATAGTTACTTATATTGATGTATAGAATATCAAAATATAAGCATAAAAGGAGTTTTTACTCTAATTTATATCTAGAATACTTGTGAATATTTCAAAGTTAATATTCAGATATTAATAGGAAATCTGAATAATATGCCTCGTTTGTGTCTGCAATGTTGCTATGCTTAATGATGACATATGATCACAATTTGAACATGATGTACTTGTTCAGTGATGCCTCAAATAGAGTTGGGTTTAACGTTTGTCTGTGAGTCCTTTCAAAGGCCAAGGCTGAACGATGAAGTTTTGGCCTCACACTAAGATTGGAGCCAAGGCTGGGTGTGGTGACTCATGCTTGCAGTCCCAGCACTTTGGGGAGGCCAACTCAGAAGGACTGCTTGAGGCCAGGAGTTCAAGATCAGCCTGGAAAACAGTGAGACCCGGTCTCTAGTCTCTACAAAAAATTTTAATTAACTGGGCATGGTGATGTGCACCTGTAGTCCTAGCTATTCTAGAGACTGAGGCAGCAGCATCTCTTGACCCCAAGAGTTTGAGGCTGCAGTGAGCTATGATTGTGCCACTGCACTCCAGCCTGGGTGATATAGCAAGACCCTGTCACTAAACAAAAAACAAAACAAAGACTGAAGCCAAACTTGACTTTATCTTTATTTACTATAAATGCTAATTTTGAATCATGGTGTTAGTTTATTTCACATGACAACATGGTACCTTGTTCTTTTGAAACTACACTGTCTTCTATCTCGTTTCAGTTATATGGCGCTACTTTCATGACACCCTACTGCGAAAGTATGCTGAAGAAAGAAATGGTGTCAATGTCGTCAGTGGTCCTGTGTTTGACTTTGATTATGATGGACGTTATGATTCCTTAGAGATTCTGAGGCAGTAAGAACATATTTCATTACTCTTAAAAATAGGAACCAAATGGGATTACCATCCAGTTGAGTCAACAGAACCCTTTTTACCCAGTGTCATATGTTTGTGTATGACATTTCTGACTACACAGGAATCCTTTTGAAATATCTGATCAATTTTGGCGTTTTGCTCAACATTCAGTAAAATATTTTTTAGGTAAAAGAAGTAGTGTTTCTCACCCATTCAGTTCAGTTGAGTAATTTTTGAGCTCAGTTTAAATGTTGAACTCATTTAAGATCTCTGTGTGGCTAATTGTTAAGGTATGATCTTAATATATTGTCATTCAGAAGATGAAGAACTCTATGGTGTGGCTACACATATCCTGAGTCTAGGAATGAATAGGGTTATAAAGCTGTAGTGCTTGGGAGTCTGGTGGCCTTGGGTGAATGTAACAGCTTTTACCCAACTCTGGCTGGAAGGGCATGATAAAAAGCAACTGTCTGAAGGAAACTATCGGTGGCGCTTTTTTAAAAAAAGAGAGGGAGAGAACATTTTGGAAACTGGTTGATCTTTATTAAAACAATAATTACAGTAGTTTGGGAAGCAATTTCGCTGTTAAGTCCGTAGGAAAAAGACTGAGATTCCACTGCGATTCATCCCCTCTCAGAACTTTCCTACTCTCCCAGGCTGACTTAGATATATGTGACTTACAAATACAAGGGAGAGCACATCAATTTGTAAAGTTACAGTTTTTTACTTTCCCTTGAGGCATAAAGCTGCCTCAGAAACTGTAGCACTAGAGAGGATAAAGAAGAAAACTGCATATGCTTCCTACCCACGGCTTCACCCAGAGCCCCCTGTTTAAATAGTTTTAGAGATTATGATTCTACATAAGGTCATATTTGAAAACAATGATTCCACTACCTTAAGTTTTGGAAGATGTTAAAAAAACAAACAGCCTTAAAACAAAAAGAAATAGGAGAATGACTATGAGGTAAAGATATTTGGGACATCTTTGATAATATACTGCAGTTTAAAAGATTAAGTTACTAAGATAAGGAAGAAAATCCAGTTAGAACAAACAATTCATGACAACATGTCCTCTCTGAAGGGGCTGAAATAAAAAATTCCTAACCAGTTCTTTCTCTGCCCACTATTTGTCTATAATGGCCTAGAAGTTAAGACTATCGATAATGGTTTATACTTTTGGTCGTAGGTGTTTAAAAATGGTATTTTCTTTTCTTTAGTGTTTCAATTTCAGTGTCTTTAAGTAGAACTAAAAGAATTCCAAAAGTCCATAAATTTCTACAGAAAACAAAAATTATTTGGACTGTGTTTATCTGCCTGTCTTCTAATTATTACTCTGAATCTGGCAGAATATGTTGAGGCATTGTGATTACTAGCTTCTTATATTTAATTATTTGTTTGAATTTGATTTTTATATGTATTAAAAGCATGCTCCACTGAAATAGTCATCAAAAGGAAGATAGTTATTTCTTTCTTAAAATGAATATTGGCATATTTTACAGAAAAAGAAGAGTCATCCGTAATCAAGAAATTTTGATTCCAACTCACTTCTTTATTGTGCTAACAAGCTGTAAAGATGCATCTCAGACTCCTTTGCACTGTGAAAACTTAGACACCTTAGCTTTCATTTTGCCTCACAGGACTGATAACAGTGAGAGCTGTGTTGTAAGTAGCTTTTGTATATTTTCTTTGCGTGTTGAAAATCTAGACATATGCATATTTGTTTGTGTCATACATCTGACATTACAGTGAGAGAAAGCACAACTCTTGAGTATATATGGACTTTGAAATTACAGGATGCTTTTAAATTTGATCTTTTAAGATGACATATCTTTGGGGAAGACTACCCTTGTCTGCTTTTATTTTTCATTTTCTTTTTTTTAGAGAGAGGGTCTTGCTATGTTGCCCAAGCAGGTCTTGAACTCCTGGCCTCAAATAATCCTCCTGCCTTGGCCTCCCAAAGTGCTGAGATTGCAGGCATGAGCCACCCTGCCTGGCCCCTTTGTCTGGTAAAGATACTAAAAATCAGATCAGAATCAAACTTTGTATGGCTTAACCACTAAAGTCTGGGTTTATCTGAAGTATGGATTTTCTCTTATTTCAGAACTGGATTTATAATTTCAAAGTGTCAGCACTGTTATACATTAGTCTTAAAGTTGTTAGACAACATTTCAAATTTTCTATGTATCACTTAATTATAAAAAATATTTTCCTTTCTTATCCTATTGTCATACCAGTGTATTTGGGAATAATTGTTTTATAATCTTATTTGCTCAGAATTTTAAAAATCTACATTGTAGATTGGGACATCATGACTGCATAACATTTAAGCCTTTTTTTTTTTTTTTTTTTTTTTTTTTTTTTTTTTTTTTGAGGCAGAGTCTCGCTTTGGCACCCAGGCTGGAGTGCAGTGGCGTGATCTCGGCTCACTGCCAGCTCCGCCTCCCGGGTTCACGCCATTCTCCTGACTCAGCCTCCCGAGTAGCTGGGACTACAGGCACCCCCCTCCGCGCCCGGCTAATTGTTTTTGTATTTTTTTTTTTAGTAGAGACGGGATTTCACCGTGTCAGCCAGGATGGTCTCGGATCTCCTGACCTCGTGATCCGCCCACCTCGGCCTCCCGAAGTGCTGGGATTACAGTCATGAGCCACTGCACCCGGCCTTTTTTTTTTTTTTTTTTTTTTTTGAGATGGAGTCTCGCTCTGTCGCCTGGGCTGGAGGGCAGTGGCTTGATCTCCGCTCACTACAACCTCCGCTTCCCATGCTCAAGCGATTCTCCTGGCTCAGCCTCCCAAGTAGCTTGGATTACAGGCGCCTGCCACCATGCCTGGCTGATTTTTGTATTTTTAATGGTGATGGAGTTTCGCCATGTTGGCCAGGCTGTTCTCGACCTTCTGACCTCAGGTGATCTGCCGGCCTCGGCCTCCCAAAGTGCAGGGGTTATAGTCGTGAGCCACTGCGCCCGGCCCATTTTAGCAATTTTTAAGTTTTCCCTTATGGTGAGCCAAAACATTTTCCTTTCAGAGTACTTCCCATATTTCCTGGTGTTTTTTTTTTTTCTCCTTGAAGTGACACCAAGTAAGTCTTGACCTGAATCTGCAAAAAGATGTAACTTTCATACCAGTCCCAGTGAACGGGTGGTAGGTATACCTGGAGTTAGGATCTTGAGATCCAGTATGAGCTCATCAGGGAAGAGTGCTGCATTCACTCATTCATTCATTCACTACTACTTTGATTCAGCCATTCATTCCTTTGATATTTATAATCAGGTGCTCTAGGTACTGAGGACTCAGAAGTAAACAAAATAGTGAGCTCTTCTCTGGGCCCAGGAGTAGAATACAGTGGTCCATTTGCCATCCTTGATGGTAGTAGTCTTTCTATATATCGTTAAAATTCATGAAGCTATGTCTCTCCTTGTTTCTATGATAAACTTTCAGAATTACTTGTTCCTATAGAGCACATTTCTCATTGAGTTATTTTTCCCCTTATTCTTCAGAATTAGATACAGAATAGCAAGACTTTAACTAGTTGGTTGCCTGATCTGACTCCGCTGAAAGTTGTCAGTTTTGTGAGCATTCTTAGATACATGCAGCTATTGCCTGCTTCATTACTTTCTTTATTTTGAGAGATTATATCGTCATTGAATGTATCAATTAGAGTAGGGTTCTGTAGCAAATAACAGAAACCCCTTTGCAGTGGCTTAAGCAAGTCAGGGATTCCTCATAGAACAGGAAGTCCAGCTGTACACAGTCCTGGGATGGCGCTTTGGGTAAACTGCACCACTGGGGACCCAGAACTTTTCCCTCTTTCTGCTCCACCGTTCTTAGCATGTGGCTTTGGCCCATGTGGGCATCTTCATGCATCTTTGTAGATAACACATTCTCATAAAAACTAGTATTTTTGTAGTATGTTTGCACACATCATTATATTTGATTGTCAAAATAACCCAATGAGGAGGATACAGATAAAGGAATCAAGATTTATATGTTAAATAACTTTCCTTAGTTTACCCGATAAGATAGTCACAGAACCAGTCTCTTTTTAAAAAATTTCCAACTTTTATTTTAAGTTCGGGGTATGTATGCAGGATGTGCAGGTTTGTTGCATAGGTAAATGTGTGCCATGGTGGTTTGCTACTACACAGATCATCCCATCACCTAGGTATTAAGCCCAGCATCCATTAGCTGTTCTTTCTGATGCTCTCCCTCCTCCCACCCCCTGCCCTCCAACAGGCCCCAGTGTATGTTGTTCCCCCACACGTGTCTATGTGTTCTCATCCTTCAGCACGCTCTTACAATTGAGAACATGCAGTGTTTGGTTTTCTGTTCTCACATTAGTTTGCTAAGGATAATGGCCTCCAGCTCCATCCACGTCCCTGCAAAGGACATGATCTTTTATGGCTGCATAGTATTCCATGGTAGACATGTACCACATTTTCTTTATTTAGTCTATCATTGACCACATACACCATAGTGTTCCATGGTGTATATGAACCACATTTTCTTGATCCAATCTATCACTGATGGGCATTTAAGTTGATTCCTTGTCTTTCCTATTGTGACTAGTGCTGCACTGAACATATGTGTGCATGTATCTGTATAATAGAATGATTTATATTCCTGTGCTTATATACCCAGTAATGGGATTGCTGGATCAAATGGTATTTTTGCCTCTAGGTCTTTGAGGAATTGCCACACTGTTTTCCACAGTGGTTGAACTAATTTACATTCCCCACCAGCAGTGTAAAAGTATTCCTTTTTCTCCACAACCTTGCCAGCATCTGTTATTTTTTGACTTTTTAATAATAGTCATTCTGACTGAGAACCAGATTCTTTATATTAATTCCCATATTCTTTCTACCATGCCATGTAATTTCTGTTTTCCGACTTTTTTTAACTCCACACCATTGAAGTTTCTTAAACCTATTTAATGCAGGACCGTCTTTTCCATGTATACTTTCTTTTCCCAAACTTGATGCATCTAATTAAACAAACATACATGGTATGTATTAGAAGGAAAGCTACTCGAGAGGAGAGATGATGCCTAACAAATCATATGGCATGTTCCACTTTAGGGCTGAAGTCTCATAAATGATTAAACTGGGAAGATGGAGCGCGTATAGAAGTGAACTGAGTGTTCTCTTGGTAACTTTTCTTTTATATTTCTTATTCTGCTAGCATGGGAAGCATGAATCCTCATGGATTGAAGAATTGTTAATGTTACACAGAGCACGGATCACAGATGTTGAGCACATCACTGGACTCAGCTTCTATCAACAAAGAAAAGAGCCAGTTTCAGACATTTTAAAGTTGAAAACACATTTGCCAACCTTTAGCCAAGAAGACTGATATATTTTTTTATCCCCAAACACCATAAATCTTTTTGAGAGAACCTTATATTTTATATAGTCCTCTATCTACACTATCGCATTGTTCAGAAACTGTCGACCAGAGTTAGAACGGAGCCCTTGGTGATGCGGACATCTCAGGGAAACTTGCGTACTCAGCACGGCAGTGGGAGAGTGCTCCTGTTGAATCTTGCACATATTTGGATGTGTAAGCATTGTATACATTGATCAAGTTTGGGGGATAAAGACAGACCACACCTAAAACTGCCTTTCTGCTTCTCTTAAGGGAGAAGTAGCTGTGAACATTGTCTGGATACCAGATATTTGAATCTTACTATATAAACCTTGATGGCATTGGGCAAACAGTAGACTTAGTAGGATTGGGGTAGCCCATGTTACGTGACTATCTTTACGAGAATTTTAAAGTAGTTCTGGATTTCTTTTAAGTTGGAGTTTCATTTCTTTTCATTTTAATCAAAAAAAAAAAAAAAATTAACAGAAGCCAAAATACTTCTGAGATCTTCTTTCAGTCTTTGGTGTGTATCCCCTCAAAAGCCAAATTGTTAATCTTGTGTGTTTTTTTTTTTTAAATTTTTTGATTGGATTTCTTTAGATTTAATGGTTCAAACAAGTTCAACTTTGAGGGATGATCTTTGAACATACTTACTTATTACAAAATCTTACTTTGTATTTGTATAAAAGAAAGAGAAATATTCCCATCCTGCTCACTGGTAATTAACATAGGTTTACAATGGCTTTAAATGTGGCCCTTTGACTGTTAAAATTGTATCTTATCTTTGGCGAAACTTCAGAGCACCAGTCAGTACATGCAAGGTACCATTTTTTACTGAGATGGTAGGAATGTTTCTCTCTGTGCACAAGACTTATCCTACCAGCTGCAGAGCTGTTCTCTGTTAAGCAGTGCATTTTGAAGTTCCATAGATTGAAGAGAACATGTCACCTCACATCTTCTTGGTGGACATGATAAATGACACAGTGATCTTGATTTTTTACTACCTTGACTGTACCTTTTTGTCCCTATCTGTGAATCTTCAAAGACTGCATTAACTTTTAGGCTACCTAGGTCCAATTTAGGTATAATATCAGTACATACACCAAAGATTTTTATATGTCCTTCGTATGATCATTCTTTAACAGCCTAAGGGCCAGCTGCAAAGACCTTTGGAAAATCCAATTTGCAACTGAAAATTATTTAATAATTTAGGAAATTGTTTTTGTTTTTGTTTTTAAGTCCTGCAGTTTCCTGAGGCTCTGTATATGATATTTTTTTCAGCCTGCTTCTCTCTTGTTCAGATTAGGTAATTTCTATTCTTCTGTCTCGAAGTTCAGTGATTCTTTCTTCTGTCTAATCTGTTCTGCTGTTGAGCCCATTTATTCCTGATTTTTATATTTTAGTTATTGTGTGTTTTATTTCTAAAATGTCCATTTGGTTTTTCTTTATATCTTCTATTTGCTGAGAATTTCTGTCTCTGCTGAGACTTTCTACATTTTCATTTGTTTCAAGTGCATTTATACTTGCTCGTTGAAGCATTTTTATAATGGCTGCTGTAAAATCCTTATCAGATAATTCCAACATCTGTCACCTCATTGTTTGCATCTACTGATGGTCTTTTTTCCATTCAGAAGCATTTTCCTGTTTCTTGGTGTGTGAAATGATTTTTTATTGAAACCTGGATATTTTTAGGTATTATGTTTTGAGACTATGCGTCTTATTTAAACCTTCTGCTTTAGGCAACTGTCTCTGATACCACCACAGCAGGGGAATTGGGAGTACTGCTTCAATATTACCAGGTGTGGCTGGGAGTCCAGGTTCCCCAGTCAGCCTCCCTTGACACTGAGTGACAGGGTCCGCTTGTTACTACTGAGCAAGGTGAGAATTCAGTTTCCCATTAGGCCTCTATTGATTCCTCCCTGACTGGGATGTGCAGGGCACCTTGTGCTGCACCCTGGGAATCTCCACTAATGCTATGGGACAGGAGTGACCAGGAAGGGCTTCATTACACCAGGTGAGAATGAAATTCCCAGTGGCCTACACAGCCTTCTCCAACACCACTCTGGTGTTGTATTCTTCCAGCACACAAACATACACAATTTAACTCAAAGCATCTTAGCAGAGCTTAATTAAATGGATAGATGCCTGTTCCCTTTTGCTGGACACTAAGAATACAAAAATAGGGGAGCTGGGACACCTCTTTACAGCTTGGTGAGAGTGTAAGTCTAGACTCCCCACTCAGCATTTGCTGGTATGGGTGGGGCTGTGGTTTTTTCCATGGTGTTTGGTTGGAGTAGAACCATTTTTACCCTTGCTTGGCTACCCTTTTCTGGTCCTTTGGCAGGAGAGAGAGCGGGACTCTTTTAGGGTTTTTTCCCCCTGCATTTGTTGACATTTCCAGGTTGCTGACTTTTTCAGCTCCAAGTTGGAAATATATGAGCTGAAAAGAAAACGCAAGGAACTCATCACTGTGTTGTTCCTTGGGCCCCAATGTTCCCAGCCTGTCTGTTTTCTCTGTACTGTTCAGAGTCTTGCTGTGTTTTAATATAATATCCAGGATTTTTATATGCATTTAGCAGAAGGATATCTACTCTGTCTTTGTGGAAGTGTCTCACTGATTTTTATATATTCTTCCAGCACACAAACATACACAATTTAACTCAAAGCATCTTAGCAGAGCTTAATTAAATGGATAGATAAATGCCTATTCCCTTTGCTGGACACCAAGAATACAAAAAAGAACTAGTGACAGTTTTCTCTGTCTTAGGGAGAAGAGGCAGCAGAAGTGTAAATGATCCCTAAAGAGTGATAGATGTTATCATGAAGCCACAGGACGGGTGCCACGCAGCACAAAAGAGACTCTGGATTCATCTTGGTAGTAGAGGCAGTAGCTTCCCAGCCTTGGGGCTAAGGCTTGTAGGGTGAATTGGAACTTTTCAGATGAGCAAGGCAAAGAAGGGACCTTCTAACATTCCTTGGATGGAACATTTTTGACATTTTCCCATTTACAGCTACTTATATTTTCTACAAGTGTCACTGTGACCAACTTATGTACAAATATACTTTTTCTTGCTTTGTTATAATAATCTGCTCTTAAAGAAAATGTCACTCTCTACATTCTATGCTGACTCTTAAGGAAAGAGCACCCACATCTGCTCCTACTTAGCTTTTCTTCTGTGGTTCTTACACAGTAGTACTTTTTTCTTTTGTTTTCTTGGCAGAGATTCCTCCTTTCTTTTCTTTTCTTGAAAGAGTTTTAAACTGATAAAATGGCAAAAGTGACTGATCTCTACTCCCTAGTTTGAATGGTAAATTCAAATTTGAATGGTAAATTTAAATGGTAAATTCCCATGAACATATATGGAAATGTCTTTATCCTACTTTCTCCAATAAAGGCTGTTCTTAGCTTTTCAAATGCAAAGTGAAACCTTATCCTGATTTCTACTGCCATGCCTCAAGTCAGTACTTCTTTTTTTTTTTTTTTTTTAAGAAATGGAGTCTCACTCTGTAGCCCAGGCTGGAGTGCAGTGGCATGATCTTGACTCACCGCAACCTCCACCTCCCAGGTTCTAGCAATTCTCCTGCCTCAGCCTCCTGAGTAGCTGGGATTACAGGTGCACACCGCCACGCCCGGCCAAGTTTTTGTATTTTAGTAGAGACGGGGTTTCACCATGTTGCCCAGGCTAGTCTCGAGCTCCTGAGCTCAGACAATCCCCCCATCTTGGCCTCCCAAAGTGCTAGGATTACAGGCGTGAGCCACTGTTACTTCTTAAGTGAGGTAAGTAACTTCCATAGAAAATTTCCATCAGTTTATTCATGAAAGAACAGAGAACCTGGCAGAACTTAAAAATGTTTCCAAGAATCAGAGAAAAGAGGACAAACCTTAGGGAGAAGAAGGCAGATGCTCATGTTCCAGCAAGGGAAGTAGCTGCATAGAGTTCAGGGACTGTCAGGCCTGTTGGCCGTTCCTATTTAAGGAGACAAGATGGGCATGAAACAGGGACCATCCCCTCCTCTAGGAGAAGTTGTTACCGCCTTCACTTTTCCTCTGCCATTACCCACAGTCACTTTCCTTCTTTGTACTGTGGTAGGTGTTTACCCATCATAGGAATGGGCCTTTGAACTTTGAAACTGAATGTGGTGATTACACTTCATGCTGAAGCTTATCACAGGAGTGCTTTCATAAGCATTAAGTAAAATTTCATAATGACTGAAGCCAAGGACATTTTCCCTGGTTTTTGGCCAGTCTAAATATTGTAAGAGAGAGAGAAGAAAAGTGTACGGAATATAATTGTCTCTAAGCTAAGAAATGTGGATGTTCAAATAAAACATATATACGGAACCCTGGGTGCTTTCCTTTGTGGCTGTGTGTGTGTGGAGGATGGGTAGGGTCACGGCCGAGGGTGCTTCTCTGCAGGCGTGAAACTGAGTCCAAGGGTTGTTGACAGTTAACCACAGCTGTAATGTTAAAAGGCGAGTTCATTTCAGGTTCATAGAGTAAACATTCCTGATCTGTGACCTATATCCTTGTTCTTGGTATTTTAATTATATTTAATCATAGTTCCAAGTAAAAATAAATGACAGGCATATATATTCTTTAGAATGGTCTGGAACCAAACTTGGCACTTCTGTAGATTCTTTTAATGTGAAATTTTTGTATTTATTCTCTCCATTATAGTGACTGAACAAAAAAATATTTACTAGAAATCATATTCATACCAGAACCCATAGATACGTGAAGTACATTTTAGTCTACTTGAAATGGAAGAATCCCTGGAAGAGGCATTATGCTCATGGGATGTCAAAAGGAAGGAACATAAAAGAAATCTCTTTCATCCTACCCAATGCTATTGTTTTAAATTTAACTTTTTACTTGCCTGTAAATTCTCGATTCAAGGGATAGTTTTAGGATTTTAATTAAAATTACATATTTTAAATGATATATCAGAAATTCAGAACTCAGAATGGAATATACTTTGGCTTTCACATAGTAGAGATACAAAACAATTGAAGAAATATATAGGAAATAAATTTTTTACAGTGTCTCATACAGTGTCTCATAGTTTTGCCCCACAGTGTTTAGATATTTTTCACTGTCAAAAAATGTATGCATTTGCTTAGATGGCATTGTACTGGCTGTGACATAAAGGAAATAAAACAGGGATCTCCGAACTGAAAGTTTATAACTTACTAAAAATTCTAAAGGATTTTAAATGAGACTGAAATTTTCTCAGTCCAATGAATGGATCTTGTTCAAATTTTTGTAGTAAATATCACTGGGCAGGCGCGGTGGCTCAACCTGTAATCCCAGCACTTTGGGAGGCCAAGGTGGGCAGATCACAAGGTCAGGAGATCGAGACCATCCTGGCTAACACAGTGAAACCCCATCTCTACTAAAAATACAAAAAAAAAAAAAACAAAAAACACTAGCCGGGTGTGGTGGCAGGTGCCTGTAGTCCCTGCTACTGGGGAGGCTGAGGCAGGAGAATGGCTTGCACCTGGGAGGCGGAGCTTGCAGTGAGTTGAGATCACGCCACTGCACTGCAGCCTGGGCGACAGAGCGAGACTCCGTCTCAAAAAAAAAAAAAAAAAATCTGATGATACCTACAATTTTAGATTCTCTGTTATATTCTATATCTTGAGACAGTGTCACTGTCTGG